AACTACTTTTTGAGCAGCAAATGCAAGCCATGACTTGATCTCTTTGTCTAACTTGGTCTCATTCACGAGATCAACAGCAGTGTGGAGAAGAGAGCAGGATGTGGAGACAACAAGCTTGTCTGCAGAAAGTAACCATACATACTCAAAATTTTGGCGCAAACATTCCGAACTGATAATAAACTTAAATAGTGGGTACCTTTTCCAACGATTCCCTCCAGAGCCTCCAGAGTACTGAGGGAAGATGCAAGATCATTGGCCCATATATTCCTTCCATCAACCACCCCAGCAAATAAGTATTTCCCAGAAGGAAATCCGCCCTTGATCAAATCAAGGGTCTTTGTTCCTCGGACCAGGTCAAATCCATACCCAGTAACACCCTTCAAACCAGTAAGTGTTTTGAATGCCTCAGCAGTAACATCAGCAAAGTACGTTTCAATCACAACATTCAAACCGGATAAAGATGATTCAAGCTCAGAGTAGGCGTGAGTAAATGCTTGCAATTGGTGAGCATCAAGATCCTTCACAAGAGTGGGCTCATCAAACTGGACCCAGGTAGCACCAGCAGCCTTGAGTTCAGCCAGAACCTCCCTACATTCAAATGCAACCTTGGTGAGATAATTGAACGCAATTGGCTACATAAATAACTAATTCTCAAATAATAATACCCAAAGTCTTACTTGTAGACAGGAAGAATACTGCCAATGAGAGACAATAGGGAAAAGGACTTCTCAACTCCCTTTGCTGGTTTTGATAGCAACAAGTAAGATACTGGGCCAACAAGGACTGGTACAGTCTCAACCCCAAGCTGTAATCAGAAAATAAGAAGTTACAACAATATAATTGCCCGTGAGGCGATGATGGGGAGGGGAGAAAAGAAACTGGTCTTTGTAATGAATTCATTTCAGGTAAAACAACTACAGTAGTTTGAGCTGCCAATCATCAAATCAGCCTTGGACTTTAGTACAAGAAATCTGAATCGTCACTTGGAAGTCAGTCTTAATATTGCATGCATTACTCAAAATACTTTCATTTTCCTTTATTTTTTTCACTCAATGGCAAATATAGCAGTGCTTGGTTTTTATTTCTGTAATTGAATTACAATGACAACTACCCTGACAATGAATCATAGCAATGCTGATTTTAACACGGATTTCCCCTCATTTTCTTAAATTATTAAACCAGTTGATAGCATTACAAGACTTGTTCTGGAACTTTGGAATACTTACAGCTTTTGCCTCCTTGTATTCCTCGACTGCCTTGTGTGATGCATAAGAGAACTTAATTTCTGGGCTCAATTCAGGGACAATGTAGTGGCTACACAAAAGAAATATGTCATTAACTGTTTATTCAAAAGCAATATACGCCAAATTTACTGGTGGCTTTAAAATTGAAGACATGAATGCCACTTACTAGTTGGTGTCAAACCACTTGGTCATTTCCATGGCCGGAACAGAGGCATTTCCCCTAGCCATGGAGAAGTAAACATCAAAGCCAATCTCACCACCGTTCCAACCATATCTTGGGGGTACAGCACCTAGCATGGCTGTGGTGTCCAACACCTGATCATAGTAGGAGAAGGTGTTGCTAGGAATATACTTGATCCCAGCTTCAGACATCTGCTTCCAGATGGATGCCCTGAGGTCTGCTGCCACCTTCTGCAAATCCTCAGCACTACTCTTCCCATCCCAGAAAGATTCCAAGGCAAACTTGAGCTCTCTCTTGGGTCCCACACGGGGATAACCGACGATGTGGGATGCCATTGCTCTGTCCCACGATATGAACCAAAAAACATTAAATTTCTATCATGATAATAGACGATTGTCATACAGTCCTACATGCTTATAATCTTGAGAAATTCATTAAATTGAACAAAATATTGAAATGCCATTCAAAACGACCATTCGCTTGGCAATCACATGAAAGATCTCAAGTAGAGAAAAATACAAAATAAACAAATAATGCATTATTATCCTATGAACTGTTTGATAACTACCATGTAATAACATCCTACATTGTATCAAAGTACCAGAAACAACGAATCTGCAGTCTGTACTCTTGACATTGAATGTTTTGCGTGATTTCCACATTACAACTCAGATTAACGTATCGCCATCTAAAATATTAATTTAAAAAAAAAAAGATACAGAGAAGTGACTACTGACGCAAAATCTTGCTCTACGTTAAAGGCGTTGGAGACAATACGAATAAGAATTACAGGGAAGAAAACTAACGATGTCAGAGACAAACATATATGATAAGACATGAAAAAACACTTCAGTTCAGACCTGAATAACCTTTAACCAGGAATTCCATATACTACAACAAAGGAAATCGAATCGAAAACAAACGATTAGTTTCACATATACATATGCATATATGTGTGTGTGTAATAAAGAGAAAACAAACAATTAGCTTTCATACACACACACACACATAAATCGACATATATATACATACATATGTCATATATTGTATATACAAACCAGATCCGACACAACTAACTCTTCCAATCACACTCACCAACTCCACTTGGAATCTAAGAAACGATCCAAGCAAAATTCTTAAAGATCTATGAACGAAACAAGAAAATCGACGCAAAAACCTCCAAAATCAAGAATTATCACATCATAAACACAAATTTCCGTTCCGTTCCGACCACAAAACGAACAAATGAAACAACAAACGCTTAGAAAGCAACGACATCAGCAGAAGCAAAAGCAACAAGAAGCGCCATAACCAGATCTGGAGCAATTGAGCGAAGTTACGATCTATAACTCAGATTTCTTGCAACATTTACGAAGAAGTAGAACTCCATGAGAGAGCAAGAGAGAGAAAGAGATAGAGAGAGAAAATACCTAAAGGAAAAGCGGACGAAGGAGAGGCGTGAAGGTGAGAAATGGAGAGAAGAGAAGGCGATTGGTGTGAAGGTGAGAAGAGAAGAGCTCAACGGCGCGAGTGAACGAAGAGAAGCTTTGTGCATTTATAGTAGTGCTAGTCTAGTATTGTCTATCTATCTCTTCCTTTCTCTCTCTCCCCCCCTCTCTTTGTCCCTCTTTTTTGGATCTCACCCAACTGCGATTCTTGTCGGTGAGAAAAAATAAAATAAAATAAAACACTTAAAAAACAAATCTCACCTTTTTTATTTATTTATTTTTTTTCATTTTTCCCCTTATTAAGGAAATAAAATAAGTTGGTTTTTACATATAAAAATAGTGGTCTTGATTTTGGTGCATACTGCATATGGTAAGAGGAGGACGGTGGACACGTGCAGTCACCTTAAAAATCGGGATAATTTGGCCGTGTTTAAAGGTTTTGTTTTATTTTTCACATTTTTTTTTAAAATAAAATAAAAGAAAAATATCGTTGAACACAATTAAAGATAAAAAATAAAAATAAAAATGATTTTTTAGTTTAGTATAAAATGAGAGAGAAATAAAAAATAATTTTTAATCATTTTCATTTTTTATTTTTATTTTTTTCTCTCTCGAGCACATAAAGAGTCATTAATGAATTTTTTTATACTGAAAATAATATTTTCATAAAATTACTAAACACATTTTTAAAAATAATTTCTGTCTGAAATTAAAAATATTTTTATTTTTTTTCATATAGAAAACAAAATTATTTTAAAACTAGTTTACCTTTTATATTCCTCTAATAAAATTATACACTACCTTCCCACGGTGTCAAAGAAAAAAAAATGGAATTCTGTACGTTTACTTTCTGAATTTTTAGAATTTTGGTGGTATTTAATTTTGATATTTTACCGCGCCAATGTGTTACTTTTATGAATTTCATTTCGATTTTGGTTACATTACAAAAAGAGGCTTGTTTTGTAAAGTGTCCAGAAAAAAATTGTCTAAGACCGTTCGGTCTAGTAGTACCGAGCAAAGTTTGAGTCGAATGGAATTTATAAAGAGAGAATTACGGGTTTAATTTCACATGGTATAAATAAAAAGTGTCCAAAAAAAAATTATGGTGATGATTAATACCCACAAACACGCATTTAACGCCCTTAAGATGGAGCATTCTTTGGTGCCAACACCATTGGCATAGACATGGGTCGTAGTAGGCGACATACTCTATGGATTTTTTTTTTTTTTTTTTTTTTGCTCAATCGTTTTTTTTTTTTTTTTTTTTTTTTTAATTTTTTTTTTTTTTTTTTTTTTTTTTTTGAAGTGTACTCTATAGCATTTGACCTATAGTAAAAATTACACTATATGGTTATGTGAGTAAAGTTAAAATATAGCAAGTTTTTTTTCTAAAATGTTTTAGGAATAAATTACATTATATTCACATTTAATACTACAACATTATTGTAATAATCATATTTTTTTTGCTATTTATTATATATTCTAATTTATTTATTTTTGCTATATTTTAATTTGATTATAAGATTTTGCTATACATTTAACTTCTCCATTTGACATTTCTTGATCTTGACTTATAAGAATTGTGGTTGGTGCCCTCTCTCCCTCGTTGATTCGAGAAATGACTTAAACAACCATTCAAAGAAGCATTTGTCTCATCCAATATTAATGCACAACCAAACGTAATATTTTGCCAACGATGATTAAAATTTAGTACAAAATGTTGTATCATCATCTCCAAAAAAAAACAAAGGCCTTCTTCACTTTACCAATTCGAATTTTCAATTTTAAGTTTTTACAGTTAAAAACTCTAAAAAATATCACATTTAACTTTTTCTGTTACAGTTAAAAACTATCAGAAAATATTATATATCAACCCGAATTAAAAACTCGAATCCATAAAGCGAACGAGACCAAACATGATTAGCATTCAAATGTATAAAATAATTTCTTTAAAATTATTTGAAGTTAATTAATTGATATAATGGATTTAAAGAAAGTATTTATGATAATTTTGTTCAAACACTTAAATACTTAGGCCTTGTTCATTTCACCGATTCGAGTTTTCAGTTTTAGATTTTTACAGTAAAAAACTTTTAGAAAATGTCACATCTAACTTTTCTGCTACAGTGATAAGCTCTAAGAAAATATTACATCTCAGCTTGAATTGAAAACTCGAATTCGTAAAGTGAACGAAATAAATAACTTCTCAAATCTCAACGTCAACTGCTTGATATATTGAATAACATATATAAAATAATTAAATTAAGCCATGATATCACGTGGCTTGGAAAAAATTGATTTTGACAATGCTAGCTAGCATGTTGATATTATGTATAATGTCTGAATTCAACAACTTATGGGCACACAACCATCGAGATTGTCGTATTTTTAAACTAAGGTTGGGTTACCATAGGCCAATGAGCATCTTTCAAATGGTTTGACTAACTAAAAAAACAAAAAAAAAACAAATCATGACCGAACTCTATTATGAAAAAAAAAAAAAAAAAAAAAAAAAAAAAAAAAACCCTACCCACTTTGGCACTTTCCATTCTGTTCTTTGTAATCCGTTTAACTTTTTTTTTTTTTTTTTTTTTAGAAAATCAATAAATATCATGTCACGAAGTTGGTGGGTTGGGTGATGCGCCACTATTTTGGATCATAGTTTTGTTTGGAATTAATTCTTTTATTATTTGGAATGAAAATAAAACATATAGGTAGGATTTGGTTTTAAATTGTTATGTGCATCAATTTCTATTAATTTTACAAATTCTCTTTATTTTGAAGTGATTTGAACTAGATTTATCGCTCATAAACACAACAAAAGTGGCTTGTTCTTTTGGAAGTTTTAGAGCCCGTTTGTTTTCTGTATTCATCTCTGATTCTGAATCATGATTCATGATTCTCTACAGTATTTTCTCTCATAAAAAATACATATAAAATGAGAATAATTTTGAATCATGAGTCTGAATACACGAACCAAACGAACACTTATTGTTATGTGGTTTCAATCATTTGACTTTGTCAAATTTTATCAAACTAGTATAAAGATTAATTTAATAGTAATAACCTTATACTAAACAGTAGAAATGTGTATTATTCCTCTTTAAATAAAAAGAAATCAATGTTTTCCTTATTTTTTAACAAGATTTTTTTACATCAACTCATTAAGGATATAGTAGGTGAGATAGAACCAAACTTATGAAAAACACCATGTTTGGTCTATCTTATTAGGAATATCATTATTATTGTTTTTATTTAAAAGGTCTCAATCCTAATTTCCAAAGATGACAACTTCTAATTTTGTTTGAGTTCATATTAAATTAGGACAGAGATTTTTGCTTTCAATTCTTTAGTTTTTATACAACATTCTCGTTATTAAATTTTCGTCTCTAAGCTCCTTGATTAGTTGAGTTTCAAAATTTCATAGGGTTTCATAATTTTGTTGCATGAGAAAAAGAAAGGCAGAAAAGCCATACCCATGACCTGATCTATGCAAAAACAACTTGATAACGATATTCCACACTAGGCGTGTTTATATGATCCAATCATCAAATTGATCGATCCATTTTTAATTGATAATTGATCTCAATTGAATTAGATTGGATGGAATCTCTTTAAAACTGACTTGGATTAGTTTGAATGTTAATTTTACTTTCAAAACACCCGATCCAAACCAATTCAATCCTTATATGTGACATAAAAAAAATAAAAAATAAGTTTTTTTTTTTTGTTTAATAATGAATCATCATCAAAGAGAGTAGTAAGTGTGCACAATTGAATTTTTAGATTTTGTTCTATTTCTTTGTTGTTTTTTCATAGTTTGGAATAAATTGTCTGTTGCAACTTTCAAGTTTGTAATTTGGAGTTTATATGCATTTTTTTTTTAGATTTATGAATATATATATATATATATATATTTTTTGAACTACAACATTTAAATTATGTTAAAAAGATCTAACAAACAGGTTCAATATGAAAATAAAAATTAATAAATGGAAAAAAGAGATAAATACTCTTTAAAAGTGCATGAGTCAAGATTTCTATCTCTTAATCTTGATTACTAATTTTTTTAGTTAAATAATTATACTAACAAAAACGTATTAATTAAGAATGAAGGATAAAAAACCAGATGCATTTCTAAAAATAAATTCTGCAATTTTCAAACTGACGTTACACTAATAATCGGTGGATTGGATAGAATTTCTAAAACCGACCGTTAATTGAATTGGCTGATATATGGTTAAAATAAGTTGGATTAAATTGAATGAGCGCCCCTATTCCACATGAGCAAAACGGCCGGACTATGTGTCTGCATGAGTGGCGGCCAAAACGGCAACACAGACGGAAAGGAAGGGCGAAATTGTTTGATTTTGAATATTCCACTTATTCCATCCACTCTCATATAATGATACAAACGAATAAAGAAGAAAGAAGAGCAAAGAGACGAGGATTTATGCTTTATAGTAAATGAACATAAAAAAAAGCCCCCTGGAGGAGTAAATAGAAAAAAAAAAAAAAAAAAAAAAAAAAAAAAAAAAAAAACTAAAGACAACGACATCGCCTAATACAAGAAAATACTTCAACCAAAAATGGCTGATGGATTATTATAATCCGCAAACTTGAAGAGAAAATTTTCCCTCACAACAAAACAAAATCACCAATATCACTTATTATCATCAGGAACGCAGACGCCGTAAAAAGCTCACTTGGCACTGGCCAACTGGGAGCGAAGAAGCTTGGCAGCAGCAACCATGTTGCTAAGGGCAGGCTTGACTTCAGAATACTTGCGTGTCTTGAGGCCACAGTCAGGATTGACCCAGAGGATGTTGCTCTCGAGTACAGCGAGCATTTTGTTGATTCGGTCTGCGATTTCCTCTCTGGATGGGATCCTTGGAGAGTGGATGTCGTACACACCAGGGCCAATGCCCGCACCATACTTCACTCCCTCGCGGAACACCGAGAGGAGCTTCTCGTCCGATCTCGAGTTCTCAATCGTGATCACATCGGCATCCATGTCGATAATCGAGTGGATGATGTCATTGAAGTTTGAATAGCACATGTGGGTGTGAATCTGTCCAAGATAAGAACACATACAACCAAAGTTAGATACCAACTTGTGTTCTCAGTATTCTCCAAAAAGAGACTGTTCAACCGCTACATACATACAAGCAAATATACTTATGAAACACACAATGCAGACGCAGAAAACAGTAAGGGCGGATTAGTATACTGAACCTGGGTAGTGTCTTGGACACCGCAATTGGTGATTCTAAAAGAGTGAACAGCCCAATTGAGATAGAAAGCCTCCTCGGACTTCCTAAGAGGCAAACCTTCTCTCAAAGCAGCCTCGTCAATCTGGATAACAGTGATACCAGCTTTCTCAAGATCCTCAACTTCATCCTTGATGGCCAAAGCAATCTGATAGCAGGTCTCAAACCTGAAAGAAGACGGACATTTTAGCTGGGGTGGCCGGGGAATGGCTAAGAACCATAAAGCACTAAATGGTAGGATATTTCATACCTTGGCTGATCATTTCTAACAAACGACCAGTTCAGAATGGTTACAGGACCAGTGAGCATTCCTTTCATAGGTCGCTTAGTTGTACTCTGAGCAAACGACGACCAGAAGACGGTCATGGGCTTGGGGCGACTGACATCACCATAGATGATAGGTGGCTTGACACAACGGGACCCATAAGATTGGACCCACCCATTGACAGTGAAGGCAAAACCAGACAATTGCTCTCCAAAGTATTCAACCATATCATTCCTCTGATTGGCAAGGCAACAATAACAAGGTTTTCATACAAACCCACATTTGTAACTGTAATACGTGTTACATGGAAATTCTAATAGTTCATTCTCACCTCTGGCTCTCCATGTACCAAAACATCAATGTCCAGCTCCTCTTGGAGCTTGACCACTTTCTTAATTTCCTCCTTAATGGCATTGACATATTCTTCCTCAGAGATTCTAAAATTTTAAACAAATATAATTTCAGATAAATTATACTCAAAAAGGTGTTGTGAGATTGAAAGACAGTGATAGCAGAACCAAAACACTCACTTTTTAGCCTTGTATTCACGACGGACTCTTCTTAGCTCGAGGGTCTGAGGGAAGGAACCGATTGTGGTGGTCGGAAGAGCAGGAAGGTTCAACTTCTTTTGCTGGGCATCCAGCCTGGAACTCACATTTGTGGCACGACGGTGGTCAGAGCCCTTCAAAGCAGCAGCCTACACAAACAAGAATTATGGCCCCAGGTAACAAAAATATAATAACTGCAGGCCATTTTAAACATCAACTATAAAAAAGCATATATTTTTCTTATCAAAAGAAGACTTACAGCTTTCTGGACAGCCTCATTTGTCACCCTCGGGGAGGATCTTCTTGAGGCCTGAGCTCCAGCATTGGCAGTGAAGAAAGCCTGCAGACAGATAATGAAATGAGAAACTAAAAGATATAAACTAGGATAAATTATGCTTATGAAGAGCATGATGCAACCAGAGAGAATCGATCTTTTTTACAAAAAACAAACAGCTTTTCTTCGTGTTTTGGGTGGGCACATGAGAAAGGTCTCAAAACGTAAATATTTATATTTCTTGAATATGCCAAACCAAACTACAGATTTCTATTCATTAAATATCACAAACAATTATATGGAGTGGTCAGATATCTGAGAAACTGTCTAACACGAGTTCATGTTAGCAAAAGTAAACATAGAAATACTTCATATTCATAACTATACAAATAAGAAGCATCTTTGTTGACTTTTTTTCTCGTTCTGAAAAAGTAATTTACACCAAACATAAGGTAGTAGTGAGAAGGAAGCACCTCATCCTTTTGTCCAGCCAGGGCCTTAGCCAAGGCATTTACTTCAACTACTTTTTGAGCAGCAAATGCAAGCCATGACTTGATCTCTTTGTCTAACTTGGTCTCATTCACGAGATCAACAGCAGTGTGGAGAAGAGAGCAGGATGTGGAGACAACAAGCTTGTCTGCAGAAAGTAACCATACATACTCAAAATTTTGGCGCAAACATTCCGAACTGATAATAAACTTAAATAGTGGGTACCTTTTCCAACGATTCCCTCCAGAGCCTCCAGAGTACTGAGGGAAGATGCAAGATCATTGGCCCATATATTCCTTCCATCAACCACCCCAGCAAATAAGTATTTCCCAGAAGGAAATCCGCCCTTGATCAAATCAAGGGTCTTTGTTCCTCGGACCAGGTCAAATCCATACCCAGTAACACCCTTCAAACCAGTAAGTGTTTTGAATGCCTCAGCAGTAACATCAGCAAAGTACGTTTCAATCACAACATTCAAACCGGATAAAGATGATTCAAGCTCAGAGTAGGCGTGAGTAAATGCTTGCAATTGGTGAGCATCAAGATCCTTCACAAGAGTGGGCTCATCAAACTGGACCCAGGTAGCACCAGCAGCCTTGAGTTCAGCCAGAACCTCCCTACATTCAAATGCAACCTTGGTGAGATAATTGAACGCAATTGGCTACATAAATAACTAATTCTCAAATAATAATACCCAAAGTCTTACTTGTAGACAGGAAGAATACTGCCAATGAGAGACAATAGGGAAAAGGACTTCTCAACTCCCTTTGCTGGTTTTGATAGCAACAAGTAAGATACTGGGCCAACAAGGACTGGTACAGTCTCAACCCCAAGCTGTAATCAGAAAATAAGAAGTTACAACAATATAATTGCCCGTGAGGCGATGATGGGGAGGGGAGAAAAGAAACTGGTCTTTGTAATGAATTCATTTCAGGTAAAACAACTACAGTAGTTTGAGCTGCCAATCATCAAATCAGCCTTGGACTTTAGTACAAGAAATCTGAATCGTCACTTGGAAGTCAGTCTTAATATTGCATGCATTACTCAAAATACTTTCATTTTCCTTTATTTTTTTCACTCAATGGCAAATATAGCAGTGCTTGGTTTTTATTTCTGTAATTGAATTACAATGACAACTACCCTGACAATGAATCATAGCAATGCTGATTTTAACACGGATTTCCCCTCATTTTCTTAAATTATTAAACCAGTTGATAGCATTACAAGACTTGTTCTGGAACTTTGGAATACTTACAGCTTTTGCCTCCTTGTATTCCTCGACTGCCTTGTGTGATGCATAAGAGAACTTAATTTCTGGGCTCAATTCAGGGACAATGTAGTGGCTACACAAAAGAAATATGTCATTAACTGTTTATTCAAAAGCAATATACGCCAAATTTACTGGTGGCTTTAAAATTGAAGACATGAATGCCACTTACTAGTTGGTGTCAAACCACTTGGTCATTTCCATGGCCGGAACAGAGGCATTTCCCCTAGCCATGGAGAAGTAAACATCAAAGCCAATCTCACCACCGTTCCAACCATATCTTGGGGGTACAGCACCTAGCATGGCTGTGGTGTCCAACACCTGATCATAGTAGGAGAAGGTGTTGCTAGGAATATACTTGATCCCAGCTTCAGACATCTGCTTCCAGATGGATGCCCTGAGGTCTGCTGCCACCTTCTGCAAATCCTCAGCACTACTCTTCCCATCCCAGAAAGATTCCAACGCAAACTTGAGCTCTCTCTTGGGTCCCACACGGGGATAACCGACGATGTGGGATGCCATTGCTCTGTCCCACGATATGAACCAAAAAAAATTAAATTTCTATCATGATCATAGACGATTGTCATACAGTCCTACATGCTTATAATCTTGAGAAATTCATTAAATTGAACAAAATATTGAAATGCCATTCAAAACGACCATTCGCTTGGCAATCACATGAAAGATCTCAAGTAGAGAAAAATACAAAATAAACAAATAATGCATTATTATCATATGAACTGTTTGATAACTACCATGTAATAACATCCTACATTGTATCAAAGTACCAGAAACAACGAATCTGCAGTCTGTACTCTTGACATTGAATGTTTTGCGTGATTTCCACATTACAACTCAGATTAACGTATCGCCATCTAAAATATTAATTTAAAAAAAAAAAGATACAGAGAAGTGACTACTGACGCAAAATCTTGCTCTACGTTAAAGGCGTTGGAGACAATACGAATAAGAATTACAGGGAAGAAAACTAACGATGTCAGAGACAAACATATATGATAAGACATGAAAAAACACTTCAGTTCAGACCTGAATAACCTTTAACCAGGAATTCCATATACTACAACAAAGGAAATCGAATCGAAAACAAACGATTAGTTTCACATATACATATGCATATATGTGTGTGTGTAATAAAGAGAAAACAAACAATTAGCTTTCATACACACACACACACATAAATCGACATATATATACATACATATGTCATATATTGTATATATAAACCAGATCCGAAACAACTAACTCTTCCAATCACACTCACCAACTCCACTTCGAATCTAAGAAACGATCCAAACAAAATTCTTAAAGATCCATGAACGAAACAAGAAAATCGACGCAAAAACCTCCAAAATCAAGAATTATCACACCATAAACACAAATTTCCGTTCCGGTCCGACCACAAAACCAAGAAATGAAACAACAAACGCTTAGAAAGCAACGACATCAGCAGAAGCAAAAGCAACAAGAAGCGCCATAACCAGATCTGGAGCAATTGAGCGAAGTTACGATCTATAACTCAGATTTCTTGCAACATTTACGAAGAAGTAGAACTCCATGAGAGAGCAAGAGAGAGAAAGAGATAGAGAGAGAAAATACCTAAAGGAAAAGCGGACGAAGGAGAGGCGTGAAGGTGAGAAATGGAGAGAAGAGAAGGCGATTGGTGTGAAGGTGAGAAGAGAAGAGCTCAACGGCGCGAGTGAACGAAGAGAAGCTTTGTGCATTTATAGTAGTGCTAGTCCAGTATTGTCTATCTATCTCTTCCTTTCTCTCTCTTCCCCCCTCTCTCTCCCTCTTTTTTGGATCCCACCAACTGCGATTCTTTTCGGTAAGAAAAAATAAAATAAAATAAAACACTTAGAGGACGGTTGGTTAGAGAATTTAAATAATGTGATTTGAATTATTTTTAATTTATGTGAATTTTTTATGAGAGAAAATACTGTAACGAATTATGAATTATGATTCAAATTACATTATTTTAAGAATAAATTACAAGTTTTTTTTTTTTTTCTAAAATGTTTTAGGAATAAATTACATTATATTCACATTTAATACTACAACATTATTGTAATAATCATATTTTTTTTTGGCTATTTATTATATATTCTAAATTTTTTTTGCTATATTTTAATTTGATTATAAGATTTTGCTATACATTTAGGCCTCGTTCACTTCGCGGATTCGAATTTTCGATTCGAGTTGAGATGTGATATTTTCTGAGAGCTTTTCATTATAGCAGAAAATTTTAATGTGACATTTTCTGAGAGCTTTTTACTGTAGAAATCTAAAACTAAAAATTCAAATCGGTGAAATGAACGAGGCCTTAACTTCTCCATTTGACATTTCTTGATCTTGACTTATAAGAATTGTGGTTGGTGCCTCTCCCTCGTTGATTCGAGAAATGACTTAAACAACCATTAGAAGCATTTGTCTCATCCAATATTAATGCACAACCAAACGTAATATTTTGCCAACGATGATTAAAATTTAGTACAAAATGTTGTATCATCATCTCCAAAAAAAAAAAAAAAACAAACATGATTAGCATTCAAATGTATAAAATAATTTCTTTAAAATTTCTTTAAAATTATTTGAAGTTAATTAATTGATATAATGGATTTAAAGAAAGTATTTATGATAATTTTGTTCAAACACCTATATACTCAGTCTGATAAATAACTTCTCAAATCTCAACGTCAACTGCTTGATATATAAAATAACATATATAAAATAATTAAATTAAGCCATGATATCACGTGGTTTGGAAAATTTTGATTTTGACAAATGTATAATTTCTGAATTCAACAACTTATGGGCACACAACCATCGAGATTGTTCATATTTTTAAGCTGAGGTTGGGTTAGCATCGGCCAATGAGCTTTCAAATGGTTTGACTAACTAAAAAAAAAAACAAATCATGACCAAACTCTATTATGAAAAAAAAAAAAAAAAAAAAAAAAACCTACCCACTTTGGCACTTTCCATTCTGTTCTTTGTAATCCGTTTTTTTTTATTTTTTTTTATAGAAAATCAATAAATATCATGTCACGAAGTTGGTGGGAGGTGGTGCGCCACTGTTTTGAATCATAGTTTTGTTTGGAATTAATTCTTTTATTATTTGGAATGAAAATAAAACATATAGGTAGGATTTGGTTTTGAATTGTTATGTGCATCAATTTCTATTAATTTTACAAATTCTCTTTATTTTGAAGTGATTTGAACTAGATTTATCGCTCATAAACACAACAAAAGTGGCTTGTTCTTTTGGAAGTTATGTGATTTTAATCATTTGAGTTTGTTAAATTTTGTCAAACTAGTATAAAGATTAATTTAACAGTAATAACCTTATACTAAAACGGTAGAAATGTGTATTATTCCTCTTTAAATAAAAAGAAATCAATGTTTTCCTTATTTTTTAACAAGATTTTTTTACATCAACTCATTAAGGATATAGTAGGTGAGATAGAACAAAACTTATGAAAAACACCATGTTTGGTCTATCTTATTAGGAATATCATTATTATTGTTTTTTTTAAAAGGTCTCAATCCTAATTTCCAATGATGACAACTTACATGATTATATATTTAAATTATTTCTGAAGGCAAAGCTGAGATGCACATATACCAAACCCCATGAATTCTTGACCATTAAGAGACAAACACATCAAAGTTGGTTCAACAGTGGAGTAAAGTCTTGCCCCTCTTTGCTAGAGTAATGGACCACTACATATAGAGAGAATTGCCAAAATAAAATAAATAAATAAATAAATGAAGTCCTTGTTTGGTGAGAAAAGTGAGGTAAGTTTTCATAATTGCCAAGCAAGTTAGCTCTTGAAAACTCCTACTTGATTTCTTTGTTTTGAGTCTTGTAAAGGACGGAGAAACAAAATATCAAGATGAGACAAATAAAAAGGAAGTAGAGTTTATATTTCATATTGTTAATTAAGTAGACAAGAAAGATAAAGATAAAAAAAAAAAAAAAATGTCTAATTAATTTACTTTTATCTCGTTCACTTCGCAGATTCGAGTTTTCAATTCGAGCTAAGATGTTACATTTTGTGAGAATTTTTCACTGTAGCATAAAAAGTTAGATATGACATTTTTTGAGAGCTTTTTACTGTAGAAACTTAGAACTGAAAACTCGAATCGGTGAAATGAACGAGGCCTTTATAACTTATCCTTGTGCTAATAAAAAAGATGTGATGTAATAAACCAAGGAATCTGTCGAGGCTGCATTCCATTGAAATTCACATTCATAAATGAATACCTATACCTATAGCTCTTGTGCAAGGAATGTGTTGATTACATCTTCTAGGATTTTTTTTTTTTTTTCAAAATAATGATTGTTGCTCTATTTCTCAGAGAAGACATCAAAATCTAAGCTTATGTGGCGGATCATATTTTCAGTACTATGACTGGAATAACTATGACCACACAATGGCATGGCGATTTTGAGGTTTAATGCTTACGCTCGGCACCATGATATGATAAAATGTATCTAACTATATATCTATACACACACACACATACACATATATATGTATATAATCACTTGTAAGCAAACTGAACTGAAGAGCTTATCACTTTTGTTCATGAGTTCAGGATTTTTTTCAGCATACAAAAACATGCTGAAATGGCATTGCAAGCTCTATTTTCTAATTTTTTTTGGGGCCACATTAGCATCATATTTCCTGCATTTTATGACCACTTCGAAAAAAATAACCTAAAGAAAGAACAAAGGAATGAATGGCCAAAGTCGAGACTCAAACCAACCAAAAAACGAACAAAGAACTTCACCAAAAATCACCGCAAGAACACAAACCATCCCGAAAATGGTGGAAACGATTCGGGTCCTTGAGTATGATCTCTCTCCCTACAATGTTGGATATAGCCTTGGCGGACTCGTGGCAAAAGCGACACACACGGTGGTTTTTGGTCACGCGAACGGTTGCACTGCCTTTCGAGCTGATGAGCCCGAAAGAGATGGCCAACATTTCACTATGCCCAACCCCAATGCAGTCCCTCTCTTCATCCACATCATGAAGACTATAATCCGCATTAGGCTTCTGTCCTTCCTCTTCCATTTTCTTCATCAAACACTCCAACTCCCAATAAATTCCTTGTGATCTCGGATGTGACACATCTCCGGTCCTAAACACATGAACTTTGTTTCTCGACTCTATCCAACTATAAGCTTTTTTAGGCTTCAAATCCATGCCCCCAATCATTCCTCTCATTTTATTAACCAAGTCCCATTTACCATTATGAGCATACCAGTTTGACAGCAATACGTAATTCTCAGCATTAAGTGGTTCTAGTTCAGACAACTGCTCCGCTACCCGCTTACCTAAATCCGTTCTGCGGTGAATTCTACAGCCATCTAGCAATGCTCGTAATACCTCGGCGTGCCTTTCAATCTTGTTTTCTTGAATGAAAAGCATTGCCTCGTCGAAGAGCGCGGCATTTGCTAGAAGACCTACCATCAAAGCGTAATGTGCAACTTCCGGTGCCTTAATGCGGTTGAAGTAGAATTTTCCTTCTTCAATTTTGCGTGCGGAGCTGCACGCACGAAGGACATCTGCATATCTAAGCTGATCTAATCGTACCGCACTCAATTCGTTTTCCAGTTCTCGACACAAATCCACCGCAAGGTCTCCTCGTCCATGCAAGCTATAGCCCAGAATCATTACAGTCCATGAAATAACATCTTTGTGCTTCAACTGGGCAAACATTCTTGAAGCCAACTCGATGCATCCCGACTTTGCATACATGTCGATAAGAGCATTGAGGACTGTAAGATTCATGTCTATTCTGTTTCGAAGCAAGTAGCCATGGATTTCCTTGCCTTGCTTATTCGCAGTTACTCTCGCGCAAGCTGGGAGAATGCTTGAGATTGAGAAAGGGTCCGGCTTTAATCCATTCGTAATCATACGACGAAAAAGTTTTAGTCCCTCGCTGTACCCGCCTTTCTTCACGTACGCGTGAATGATTTCTGTCCAGGAGATAATATCCCTGGAGGGCATTCGGTCGAAACCTGCTCGAGCATCCTGGATGCTGCCGCAATCAATGTACATTTTCAAGAGCGAGTTGCTCACTAACACCTTGAACTCCAACCCGCGCTGCCGAGCAATCTGATGAAGAATCCTGCCGTCTTTCAGCGACTTCAACATGGCAGCCGCGCTGATTGCAGTCGCCAGCGCCACCGAATCTATTTCAGCCCCCGAGTCCAGCATTTGGTAAAACAAATCTATAGCCAAACTGGGTTTTCCTTCCCTGATGTACAACCTAGCTAGCAGAGTCCAAGAAACTGCATTCGTGCGGGGAGACTTGTCGAGGATCAGGCATTTTGCTCTGTCTATATCGTCGAGCTTTCCATACATTTCGAGGAGAGCAGAGATCACATATTGATCGTGAGAGAAGCCGAGTTTTATGGCGTGGCCATGAACTTGTTTGCCAACAAACAAACCACCTGAAAGGCCCGAAACCGCAGCCAAAACGCGGGGGAGAGTGTGTCTGTCAGGGCAAACACCACGGCGAAGCATTTGCTGATAAGTGAACAAAACGTGGTGTAAATCTCTGCTGGTTAAGTAGCTTTGGATAAGACTATTCCAAGCAAAGGTATCTGAAAGAGACATTTCGTCGAACATCTTGTGGGCCGGAGACAAATCAGCGGATTTCAACGCCACTCTTGGGTTGCTCGCAAGATGACGGGAACCCAGTTTGCAGTGTAGAAGATTTCGCTTCGGAAAGGTAGTTTCTGAAAGAGGCATTTCATCGAACATATTGTGGGCAAATGAGAATTCAGCGGATTTCAAACCAAACATTCTGTTGTTGGTCGGAAAATGAAGCTTGTATTGCTTTCTCAACGCAGAAGTTATATATATATATATATATATATATATCACTAGTACCCTTTCATCGTATGTGGATTTTGATAGGATTATGCAAGCTTTGGGTTCTTCAATAACGGTTCTCTCGCCGACTGTTTCATCCCTCTCGTGAGTTGCTGCTCCATAGTTTTTGTTTCTTTGCTTTGTATTGTATTCTTCTTCTTTGTCGTTCTTTGATGTTTGGGAAAATTTTCGGTATTGTTAAGTGGATATGTATCACATCGGTACTATTTAAATGGACGGCTGTGATGCGAAAAGTGGGGGGAAAAAAAATTCATGATCCTGATTCCTGCATTCCGCTTACCGAAAATGGCCCCACTATAGTTAATGATATAAAACTTTGTTATTTTTGTAATATTTCAAAAATTTTGTTATATAACTTAACTAATTAAATTTTGCTACATTTTACAATAGATGAGAAAAGGAATATCTAAAAATTGTGATATTTACGTATAAGTATGTGAAATCATCTGTAATGATATTTTTATCTTTTTTTAACTATTTTTAAAATTAGTTATATAAATTCATAATCATTCACATAAAAAGATTTATTTAGAATAATATATATTAGTAATTATAAAATGGATAGATTAATATTATCAATGAATAAAAAATGAATAGATTAATATTATTTAGAATAATATATATTAGTAATTATAAAATATGGATAGATTAATATTATCAATGAATCAAAAACATATTCTAAACATGAAATTTAAAAAGAATCATTTTATATATGTCTAAAGAGTCCAAGGATAAAAACATAGATAAATGGTAGAAAATAGGTCTACATTTAAAACTTATTAAAATACATAATCAATTTATTAATTTGTATAAATTAATAAACCATTTCATGTTTTCAATTTTTATTTTCTAATTTTACTCTTTTCTTGCTATTTTTTCATCCAGGTATATCTAACATTTACCAAATTAAAATCACTTAAAAAATAATAGTACAAATTTTAATGATCTCAGATATACCTGATAAATTTAAGATTTATTAAGTTCGTATTATTAGGGAAAAAATGTACAAATTCTAATGGTGAATTCAATATTTACTAGTAAGGAAAAAATGAAAAATTTAATAGTAAATTTTAGATATAGGCTGGTGCATCTTAAGTGGGTTTTGATATGATTGCCTAAGCTTTGGGTTCTTCAGTAATGGTTTTTCTGCTTCTCTCGCCAACTGTTTCATATCTCTCGTCTCGTGGTTTGCTGCTCCTTTGTTTTTGTTTCTTTGTTTGTATTCTTCTTCTGCGTCTCTCTTTGATTTGTTGGAGAATTTTCAGTTGTGTTTGTTGGATATGCATAGTATGGAGAAAAATCCAAAATGTACCCCTCAGTTTTAAGTAATTCTAACATTTATCTCTGTGTTTTTGATAATCTAAAAGATATCCCTTATGTTTTGAAATTATTCTAAACTTATACCAAGTTTTTCAAAGAAATAAAATATAACCCTTTAAATAGTCAAATTATCAAAAATGACATAAATAATCTTAATGATCAATATTTAAACATTATCTTAAAACTAATGACTAAGAAACTAAAATTAAAAGAAAAAGGTAAATTTCCAATGAATAATTTCTCTGTTTTTGAAAAATAATTCAAAATTTAACTGATCAAATTAGTCTAGGCCTGTCTAGCTCCACATAGAAACTCAGGCCCTCATCATTGACACACAGTTGATGGATTTAGACTTGTTAAATCAATCTTGTCTCTACACTTAGAGCCCGTTTGGTTGGAGGATTCGTTCTCTGATTCGAATTATCGTTCATAGTTCGCTACAGTATTTTCTCTCACAAAAAATACTCGTAAATAAAAAATGATTCTAATCTCATGATTCTAATCCATAAACCAAACGGGCTCTTAATACTGCTATGCAGTCATTTAAATACGTTGACTCTTTTATTTTCTTGATTTTATTTAGTTTTAAAACTTATGTTTTGTCTAAAATAATATCTAAATAGTACTTATTGAGGTTATTTTTTATATTTCTAAAATATTAAACCATTAAAGGGTTATTTTTTTTTACTCTTTTAAAAAACATAAGGGATAATTTAAAAGCTTAAAGAAACTTTTTGAATTATTAAAAACACAGAGGTGCTATTTAAATGGACAGCTGATATGCGAAGAGTAAGAGAGGGGGCAAAAAAAAATAATTTAAATTAAATTAAAAAAATCATGATTCACGTGGCAAGCCCCACTATTCCTTTTTAAGTTTTTATCATCAGAAATTAGTCTCTAAAGGAAATTGAAGATGCTTTTTCATTCTCTACCTAGAGGTAAAAGTTTAGACCGTCATTCTCAGCTTGACCTAAGCCCCGAGGTTAGAAGAAGATATTTGAGCCAAGCCGGGTTAGCTCAAAAAAGAAGGTCGGTTTGGCCTGAAGTTTTACAAAGAAAATTTTTTAAAAGTGAATAATAAGAGCACTTTGAACCGGCATGAAAATAGTTTTACACTTTGAATATCAGCCCAACCCGTCCTGAAGATTCAAGTCAGACAGAACTAACAATGACGGTTTGACTCGACCTTTAACTCGATCTAAACTTACAACTCGACTTCGCCCTTTCATGCTTCCTTCTATGTTTTGTTTTGTAAATCGCACCAGATAAAAATGAAGTAAAATTTGTTATTCAACCCAAAAAAAAAAAAGTGAAAATTTGTTATCTTTATCTTTTATCTTTACATATTACTGTGTATGACTTTTTACTGTTTATTATTTTTTTCTCCTTTTTTTTTTTGTCCCTTAGTTTAAGTTAGGTCTTTAACTTGAACGTGAAAACTGAAAATTAGAAATGGGCTTATCATTGTTTTAAGACAATGAATTGATGCACTTTTTCTTTCCCCTTTAAGAAAAGGAAAATAAATAAAATAAATAAAACATGAAAATCGAAACAAAAAACCCAGCAACTACTTCTGCATTTGTCCATGGAAAAGGTCGGTTAGTTTGCTGTCGTCAGAGTCTCGCCACCACCTCCACTGACTCTTCTGCCTCCTACTCCGACGACGGCAAAAGCCAGCAACAACTTTGACCAGAATGTTTGGATCTCACTACAACCTCTTTGATTTGATTTCTTTCATATAACTTTGCTCTTATTTTATATATGGAATGCGGAATCTGAACAACTCACGTAAAACAACAACAATTTCTCAAATTCTGTGTGATTTTACTTTTTTTTATTGCTTTTGCATGCAGAGGAACTCTAGAAAAAAAAAAAAAAAAAAAAAAAAAAAAAAAAAAAAACACAAATTTCTGTTAAAAACCTTTCAAGCAGCGTGGCAAAAATCCTCATTTCACTTCCGGCTTACTTGACAACATTAATCAAACCTGTACAATCATAAACATGTAAGAAATGATTACTACTTCTAATCTTGAACATATATATATATATATATATATATTTCTATCATTACTAGTGTTTGGATCACCACCGACTTCAAGTCTAATGGCATTTTGTCAAATAATAGGACCCATTTTATATTAGATGAAAATTAAGGGTCTGTTTAGTTCGTTAATTCGAGTTGAGATGTGATTTTATGCGAGAGCTTTTTACTGTAATAAAAAAGTTAGATGTGATTATTTCTGAGAGCTTTTTACTGTAACAAATTTAAATTTTAAACTTAAATCGGTGAAATGAATAAGACCTAAATCAGTGCCAGAACAACACTGTTTGACATTTTTTTACCTCTTCTTCTTATTCTACAATTCATTATTTATAAGTCAGGATCTTAAATTTGTTGGATCATAAACTTTTAATTTTGACATTTAAAATCTTAAATTTCACAATCTTAGGAGACGTTTGGTTCATAGATTAAAATCATGTGATTAAAATTATTTTTTATTTACGTATATTTTTTATGAAAAAAAATACTATAAAAAATTATAAACTATAATTTAAACCATAATTTAAATCTTCCAACTAAATGTACCCTTAGATTCAAGCAGATCAATAAGAGACGCCAATTAAGGGACCACAATTAAAGTACAACATGTCAAATTTGAACATGAAAGTCCCAATTTGCCAACTAACAAAAAGTTGGAATGCGTGTTCGGCCCATTAATCGACGTCAGTTAGCTATTCAACTGCAATTGCAATAAAATTTCAAATTATATATAGGTCTCATTTGTCAAACGTATCATTTATTTTATCGATTTGAGTTTTTAATTTTAAGTTTTTACAGTAAAAAATTATGAAAAAATGTTACATTAACTTTTTTTACTATAGTGAAAAGTTTTCAGAAAAGGTCACATCTCAACTCGAATTAAAAACTCGAATCCGCAAAGTGAACGAGACAAAAAAAAAATATAAAAATTTAGGATCCAATTGCTAAATACTAATAACTTGAGAGTGCACCAGTATAATTAATTAATCCAGAGATAATCTCGTATCAAATAATTTTAATTTCTTTTTAAAGGGTGTGTGGAGCTTACGGCTCATATTTGATTCGAACCTTGCCAGCATGCGAATTGGCAATTCTGCCAAAACTCTTGAGAAAGGTTGAGAGTTGCGGGGCATTCTCGGCACAAGTCCACAATTTTAACCACAACTTCACCTTCCATACAAGGTTTTGGTTCTTGGTTTGTGGGCCCAATGCATGTAACCACGTACGATCTTCCACATGCTGCCATGCTATCCCATAGCTGATCACTTGCTGCTGCAATTATAAGAGTGTTTAGCATGAGAATTTGTGTCATAATTTAAATTATAGTTTGTGATTTATTATAATATTTTTTCTCATAAAAAACATACGCAAATTAAGAATAATTCTGAATTCGTAAACTAAACGCCACAAAATTTTCAGGCTGGTTGTTCCCTAGGCATTTAGACACTGCTTAAATGAAGAAAAAAAAACCTATTTTTAATTGTTAAATCTATATTAAAAATCATCTAATAATTTTTTTTTTAAATTCAAGTATATAACATGCACTGTCAATATATATATATATATATATATTACCATAGAAAGCCCCCGTTAAGTTAACTAAGTTCAAGTTTTTATTGTGCTCCTTTCATTATTAGTTATGTGAAGAGGTTTTGTCAATTTAGCTTTTGCATTTTTTTTTTCCTTTGAATATAAATTTAATATGATATAAAATTTAAAAACATACACTATCATGTAGCAAAAATGTAGGCCTCTATGAGAAAGCCCTCTTTCAACCTCTTTCAGCAAAACCTAGCTTTAACAGCAGACTCTTTAAATTTTAGTTAAAATAACTTTCTATTAACAAATTTTGAGTGATCAACTCTAATTATACTATCTATTTTAACTAAACATCAATTATTTAATATTTATTAATTTTAAAATATAAATAACTTTATTAATTTTTTTAAAATATTTGCATTTATTATAATTTTTAAAAAATAAAATAATAAAAAAATCAAATGGATAGCTCTTCATGTTAGTTATACTCCCGTTTAGTTCGATAATTCGAGTTTTTAATTAGAGTTGAGATGTGATTTTATATGAGAGCTTTTTATTGTAGCAAAAAAGTTCAAAAACATTAGATGTGACTGTTTTTGAGAACTTTTTACTGTAGCAAAACTCGAATCGGTGAAATGAACGGAGCCTAAAATTTTAGAATTTAGGGTGTTACCTTAAAATTTTATAAAAAAAAGTTGCATAAGTTGCAAAAATCTTCTCTTAAATGCACTTAAAAAAAACCTTTAAATTTGGTTGGTGGATTCGAATCATAGTTTGTTGTTCGCTACAGTATTTTCTCTCATAAAAAACATACATAAATCGAGAATAGTTCTGAATCATGATTCTAAATCTATCAACCAAACGTCCTCTTAGAACATATATTCGCACCTCATCGGCTGATATAATTTACAAAATTTCGTCTTACTATTAGATGGGAACACGAGTACTTCCGTTAAATCTTAAAATTTATCATAAATTAGATCAAAACCACTATAACACTTGAGTTTATAGACTAACTGGCGAAAAAAACAAAACAAAACAAAAATGTTTTAAGGACCAAACTCTCATTACTTTAAAGTTTTGAGACCAATAGCACCAAAACCTATTTTATTAAATAAAAAAAAAATCTATTGGCAAGGATATTAAAATTATTCACAAATTCGTCAAAAAAAAAATCGGATTCTTTCACACCATGCTCTATATAAAAAACAAAGTGAAAACCTTTATATATGTAATATATATAAATATAACTGTAACGACTCGCACTTCCACTTGATATGATATTTTTCACTTTGGGTCTGAACCCGCACGGTTTTACTTTTAGACTTCACCTCAAAAGACCTCATACCATTGGGAAGTGGTGTCATTCTTTATAAATCAGAACCCATTTTTATCCTCAAATGATGTGGGACTGCACAACTTACTTTTTATTGACCTTGTACCTCAAGAGATTGATGGTTGTCACATATATATTTTCAAGCGGTGTACTCTCAAAGAGGAAAATTAAAATGGATACCCAAGTTTTGGTGATTGCAGTACTGAGTGTGAATATATGCATAATTGTCTCATTGGCATACGCAGATGAAGGCACTGCAACATTTTATACACCACCTTATGTTCGTAAGTGTTTTAGCCTTCTTTTCTATGTTGATCACGATGATACTTATTCTACATGATAATAGAAAATTTTTCTTTGCTATAAGCTAGGGTTCGATGAAATAAAGTTATCCCAAGAAAAAATATTTTTCGGAAATTATTCGCTAACAGTTTGGTCGTGACAGACTTATAGTAAGTACTGTATTATAGAAATATACGATTTGATGGTCGGAACTTGTCTATTGCGCTCTTACGAGGTTAAATCTTCAGAGCATCTCTATCTATGTTAGTCATTTTATATTTTTAACTAAAATTGTTAATAATTTAACTTTTTTAAGCTTTTCTCTACTCCACCGTTAGCTAAATAATAAGCTATTTTAGAGAATGTATTTCACCCTAACTAAAAGTTGTGTCGTTTAACTCTGGTCAAATATGGAATATAATTTAAGCTGCATGCTTACCAAACATAGTGTGTTCACTGTTCAAACTGAATTGTACTGACAAAATTAGTGAAACAAACACCGACTTAGAGTATCTCACCATCATGCGACACCCTCGTGAGTTCATCAAGTACACTTTTTATTAAGAAGCAAAAAAAGTACAATTTCTAGTGTGAAATGTAGGAGGATTTCATTTTGCTTTTACAGGGAGTGTATATGCGCAAGCAAAGTCAATGAGTAACAAAATGGATTGGAATGGGATATGTTGCCGTATCAGTTTTCATCAATCTTGGCCTATAATCTCTTATGTAATATAGTACAGAATACATATTACACAAATTCAAGCCACTTCGTATACAGTCGCGCTTTTTTTTTGTTTTTGTTTTTGTTTTTTTGGAATTAGGCGTTTTAATATTCCTTTCTTTTTTAATCTAAACAAGAAAAATTGTAGTGAAAAAGGTAAAGCGTACACTTAATTAGTTACTAAAAAAAAAAGAAGAAAAAGAAACTAAGGTGGGTGGAGCCACCTACTTAAAAAAGTTTCTTTCTCCCCCTCTTTCTCTCTCTTTTTTTTTTCTTCCCCTTTTAATTCTTTCTCACCCATTGATATTGATTAATCAAGAATTGAATAAGTTAATAGATCATTGACTATCAAATTAATTAGTGGTATATAATATATACATACATACATATATATATATATATATATACGAGTTTATGTGTATCAAAACTTACAAAAACTATGCTTTTAAAAGGCCTTTTTTCCACATATCCTTGGCAATGTTTTCATGAATTTGTTCTCCAATTTAGTTACAAGTTTGATGTCTTATAGGAAAAGCCCTAATATGGCCAATTAAAGAGATACGTTTATCCCAAAGTATAGTTTTTCTTCCCTATAAACGAAGGAAATATGGATGTATATTATGATCTAAGGGAGTGTCTCTTGAGACTTTTTAATTCTATTAGTTGAGTCACGTGCTACGCATTTAAGAAATACTTTTATAAATTTGACCCCGTGTCAAAACACATAGTCTCCTTAAAAGTTAAGTCTATTAAGTAAAAGAAAATAAGAAAAAAGTTTAAAATTTTTTAAAAAGAAAAAGATGAAAGAGGAAACGTTAAAAAAAAAGGACAAAAAAAAAAAAAAAAAAAAAAAAAGAAGAGGAAAGAGGCCAACATTTGGCCTCCTTAGCCTCATTAGGAGTCAAGTCCACTTAACTGCTTTTATATGTTAGATGTTGAATTGGATGTGTAAATAGTCGTTCGAAGATTAGATTATAAAAGAACAATTGGGAAAAAAAGAGCAAAGCACACGTAAAAAAATTAAAGTATAAAAAAAACATTCATAAAAAAAAATAAAAGAACATAACAGAACATTTATAAAAAAAAAAAATAACAATAAATAAAAGATGAGGTTACCACGTAACAGTCTGAAAAGTGCTTTGTGAGAGCACTATAAAAAAAATGTGTAGTAAGAACTTTTGATATAACATGAATTATACTAAAAATAATTAAGTATTTAGACACATTTAAAAAATTATTTTACAGTTTTTACCCTTTGTCAATTAAATAACAACACATGTAAAAAAATTACTTTCATATATATAAAGTAAGAAAAAATTATTTTTAAAACACTCACATAAACAAATAAACCGCGAAAAAAATTCACAAAATAAAAAAATAAAAAAAAACATTTAAAAGATTAAGAGAATAAAGATACAACAACATTTAAAAGATAAAGAGAATAAAGATGCAACAACATTTAAAAGATAAAGAGAATAAAGATACAAAGTAAAGAAAGAAAAAAAAGAAAAAAAGAGCAGGAGAGGCCACCATATGTAAGCTCTAGAGAAGAGTCCTTTAACTCTTTTATGTATTGTTAGATTTGTTGTCCTTAAAATAAAATTCTGTCTGCATGTTTCGTTTTTAAGGCCTCATTCATTTGACCAATTCAAGTTTTCAGTTTTAAGTTTCTACAGTAAAAAGCTCTCAGAAAATGTCACATCTAATTTTTTCTGCTACAGTGAAAAGCTCTCAAAAAATGTCACATCTCAACTCGAATTGAAAACTCGAATCCGCAGAGTGAACGACACCTAAATAACTCGTGTCTATTTATCAAATAAAAACAAACAGCTTTACCTCCTTCAAAACATCAATTTCTCAATTTCTTTCTAATGTCATACGTCCATTAAGTAGAACTCACCCTTAGAAAACCCGGCTTGTAAAAAAAGGAGACCCTTTATTAATTATCTTATTTTTAATCCATGTAGGGGTTTTCGCATTAGCAGTGACTAGTTTCCCTCCTGAGAATAGGAAGTCCTGTTTCTCATAAAGAGTAGTGAACTAATTAAAAATATTACGTTTCGCTAGTTCGAATCATAACTCAAGTTTTTGCTACAGTATTTTTTCTCACGGTAATGGAAATTTAACTTTTTCTGCTATAGTATTTTCTCTCACATGAATTCACTTTTTAATTTAAATTTTCAACTCAAACGAGTGAAACAAACGAAGTCTTTCATCTTTCTCCCAAGTATCCTATCAGATCGTGGTCCTTTTTTCTTTTTGGTAAGAAGAAAGTGGTAATTTTATTCACCTTATCTTCTGTGTGTATCTTTCTAGGAGCAAAGTATTCAAAAAAAAAAAAAAAAAAAAACAATAAAGTCCGATCCATAACTATTGTGGAGAATTCTCCTACTATAGAATTCTCCAAAGACATTTCTACCTACAATGATATAGAAAATTATATGCGACTATGGCATTGAATGTTCTCACTCTACAATAGACAATGGATCGGTCATTTCTTTTTTCTTTCTATTTTTCCAAGCAATGAGATTGTAGTAGAACTATTTACCAGGAAACTGCCCGGCTATACATTGTTGTTGCTGCTATGACTTCTTTCTAACTTAGCTTGGTCCTTGGTTCCCTTTCTTTGAGGTTCTGATCTCGACTCGCCGCCTTCAAATGGTAATACAACTACAGGTGCTGCAGGCACCATGTCCCAGCGCTGCTTCACGAGAGTCATGAACCTTCTCACCATTTCCTTCCGGAATGCAAGTTCCCGTGTGAAGAGATCGAAGACAAAAAACGCGAGGACGTACTTGAAAGAGACCGTGAGGAGAATGGTGGCGCCAGATAACAAGGCCAGGGCAACCTCAGTGGTTACCTGATAAGAGTTCATATAATTTGTAACTGATCACAAGCAATACTAGTACTTGAGAATTAACTATATATATATATATATAAGGTTCAAGAATAAGAACATTATGTACTCAAGTGGTACAAGCTGTGTGAACTACAGCAAACAGCCTGCCAAAAAGATACAACCAACTAAATTGATTCAAACTACTTCTACCACTTAAAACAACAAATGATAAAACTTCAAAAGATGACAATCTTTTGGTATTTGGCACGTTAACCCCTTATGCGATTGGTGAGGTACACCTTAAAATTTAAATTAAGGTAAATCATCTCCTCAATTAAACGAGGTGTTGCATAGTGCCTCCAAATTCACAATGGCTTTTAAAATTGGATGGCAACGCCCTTGTACACGTTATGTGAGCTAATTTGAAGAAAGAGACTGAAATTTTATACGATGATCGGAGCATGTCACATCATGTGCATGAGGGAGTCCCCTTCAAAATCTTAATATCATTAATCAGTATGAGGGCAATTTTGCTAAATTTTATAAAATTTGGAAGTAATTACCAGAATAAAAAGAAAAAACCTAACACAAGGCGTCTCATGGTGATTGTTTTATTTAATGATTTAGCAGAATTCTTTCCTTGTTTTGTTTTGTTTTATCCTACCACTCTTCTATACAAATTAATGCCCGGTGCCCATATTGAAAGGATTTTCCCTTTTCCTTCTGAAGGACTCTCACTCCTATATTATATTTTTCTTATAGATTTTTTAAACATGACAAGAATTTCTCATTGGGTTACATACAAAAGAAACTACAGAAATTCATAGCATGCATATTTGTAATTACTAATCACTTCTGTTTTATAATGGGAGTTGTTGCTTGCAATCTTAAATGTGTCGAGATAAATCTTTCGTATTCAAGTCATGTGTGCGTCGAAGACATAAAACAGGTAAATGCAAAAAATACAGAAGCTCTGACACAGCCACACAAAAAATTCTTGTAAAATTGCATGTCAGAGAAAAACATACCTGAGGTTGACCAGAAAGGATAATCGTTCGTATTTTCAAAAGCGTGACATTAAGATTTTGTAGAAAACTTTCAACATCATGCATGGCATCTTTCACAGCTATAATTTTCTGAATTGTATTTGAAGGTGGCTGATCATGGATAGTCACTTTCCCAAAGGATCGTCCAAGACGGCCTTGCTCCTTTAGCCCTTTTAATGATAGCATACTAGCCGCTAAAATTATTAACAATGTAGGGAACACATATGACAGCAAATTTCTGAAAAGGAAAATTAAGACATTAGCTCAGAAAACAATACATGGGGGTGAAAATGCAAAAATATACGTGCACACGTAAATGGGAAAAATAAGATTGCTGACATCACAATATTAACAAACAATGTATTTAATTTACCTGAAAATAATTGCATAAGTAAAAGCAAGGAAAGAAACAGTCAAGTGTGGCTCCTCCCAGTGCCTGAGCTTTTCGAAATTCTTGGCAGTTATAGTCAGAGGAAGCATAAGTTCCTGAACAAAAACAAATGCCAACAATGTTTATTTCTATTGTCTAAAATAGAACAAGTAAAGTTTTCATATTTGTGGGGAGAAGTGAATAATGCAAGGTATCGACATGATGAGTTATAACATGTAACATTTCTTTCTTTCTTTTCCCCCTTTTTTTTTCTCTTTAAAGTTTGGATATCTTAAACACAATGAAAATGGAGTTAATACATAAACTCAACTGAAAATGCTAGGAAATCTTTTTAAGCATAATATTCCTGAAGATTTTATGGATATTATGAACTATGAACTTCAACTCTTAAAGATTTAAGGCTAGTAAGGAATTGTAAACATCACTCAAGTCTCAAGCAAGTAATCAAGTCATGTGTTGGGTCACATTCTTGAAAATGAAAAATCCAGACAAGGGGACAAATAATAAGTTAAGCAGCTTAACCTTGAAAAGATCAATATTACTAGGTATCCCTTTAAGTGTTGCCGCATCAATTGTTGCTTGAGTTTTTTCAATCGCCTCATGTTTCCGTCTGCAAATTTCTGCTGCCCTTTCTACAAGACTTGAATCAGCAACAACAAGGTTTTTACTTAACACCAGTCCTTCTCTTGACGAAGAGTTCTTCCAAAAAGCAATGGAAGCACTAGAAGACCAAGACGGGGACCTCATCCACTTCCGCAAGTAAATGCTTCCGTCTATATCAAACACATGATTATTAATTTCACCTACTTCATTGGAAGGTCTTGTTTGAACTGGTTGACTATCTACAAACTTTCTAACAAGGGGTCCACCCCAGTAATTTGCAGCTAGAGTTTGGCAGACCACATCACCATAAGGTGCAAAATTTAAGTACGAAAACTGAACAAGTTTTATGGGATCATCGACTAGCTTCCGCATGAATTGAAGGGCCTGGAGTCTGGCTATACTATTGATGGCACTCGTGGTCGCTCTGTCTTTTCCTTTTAGAGCACCGTAGACATTAAGTACCGATTCATCACCATCCACTGGTCCGTAATCACGGATGAACTGGTGCAAAGCAATAATTTCACTGATGGATGCGTGCCATACATCTCGCCTCATTTCACCTCCCAGGTCAACAAATTCCAGCACCCACGGTTTTGACCTGTATATGAGTATTTAATAGAGAAAGGCATATACACAATGAGATGTTTATTTGAAAAGAAAATAACTGACTCATAGAGGTCAAAGCAGAGCCATCTCTCTCACATCAATCGTACCAACTTAGTAGGGCTAGGGCTAAGATCAGAAAAATGAAACACACACACACACACACACACACACACACACACACATATTCAAGTGAAGTTACTCCATAGAGGAGGTTAAAGAAGCTTACTCACTCGAGACCAGATGAAATAGAGACAGCAGAGTCAAAGCGCACAGAACCTAACGGCCCAACTTTTGCCTTTTCCACTTTTGTCCCATGTCTCGTAATATCCAGTCTTATGACATCTTTCTGCCCTAATATACCAACTGCCTGTTCCACAATCGAAAATGTTTATAATATTGAAAGACTTACAAATACAACAAGAGAGGAAAAAACAACTGAAGGATAACTTTAATCTGGACGGAAAGTATAACTTTGCCAGGTTTCACAATCATCAGGCAGATAAAAAAGATCCAATGCAATTGCAACTCGGTTTTCAGAGAGCAGAAATCAGGTTTGGTTTACGAAGACATGTAGTGACTCGTGAAAAAGACGAAAAGATAATTTCCCATTACAAGAAAGATACACCACAGGAGTAAAGATTCATCTAATCTGTGAAAACTCCCTTAAATAGAGGATAAACCAGTCCAATCTACAATTCAAAATTCTAAGGAAACGAATGCAAATAAAGGGGGTTTTGTTTGAGAACTATCTGTAAATTTAGAATTGCGAGCTTGGCATCAGAAGAAATTGAAATGATCCAGCCAGCAGAAGTTGTAACGAGAGATGGGGCATTGGAGGCCAAAAGGACCAACTCCAACTAAAGGGACCAATCATAAACACAAAACCTGCACCTTTTTCCTCACACCACTTCAGTTTGGCTTTTAAATGAAACCTCGCTGAGTTAAAGTGAATCAATATAAGGGCAGGGGGAAAAAGAAGCTTATCAAATTTCCAATTTCTTCCAACAATTACATTTACATCTAATGTGGTCAGCTAGTCATTTGAAGGAGAACGAATTTCTTGTGATCTTGCTCATTGGGCTGATCAAGACGTGTAGAGTGCAGCTCAAATGCTGCAATTGACCGAGGCATGCAGAGAGGTCTTTGTCTCTCCTTACCGGTTTCATTTCCTCCAACACAAGTCATGTAGCTCAAGGGAAAGAGTTTGGTGGGCAAGCTTAATGCTTGGCGGCAACCTTACATATGTATTCAGGTTATGGAACACCTAGTTTTGTATCGAATGGAATATGTTCCTAAAGCGTAATATAATGAGGTGGGTTTCCAAGTAACCTTGAAAGAAGAAAACTTCAAGAACTATTTGTGCATACCGTAAACTTTAGCATGGAATATTATCAAATAGAGGTGCATGAAAAGGTAAGTTAGAACAACTTTTTGACTCCAAAAACCATAAAGATAGTTTAAATCGTAAGAGGTTCTGTTCAAGTATATTGCTTTTGGACACGTGTTTTGCCTCCATAGTCCATACATTTCAATCAGCGTATCCAATGATGTAATGATACATGAAAGTTACTCATTGAATGATGAAATACCTCAAAATAGATTGCTTTATCAGTCAGAGTAAGTTTCCCCGGCCATGCCATATTGTTCTCCCATTTTAGAACGGGCTGCTTTTGGCTGGAACCGATGCATAAGATTCTCTCATCAGAAAGGTGGGAAAATTCTCGAATTTGGTACGATTTCCGCCTCTCATGCACCCTGTATGTAAACTAGTGGAACATGAGCTCCTTTAAGCATAATTTTTTTTTTTCAACGCATTAATACATATGCACATTATGATCTTACAAAAATGTTCAACACCAGACATCAAAATGCAACCAATGTATGATGAAAGGACTATACGTATCTATGAGAAATTCTGACGTTTTTATACAAGTCAGAGACTGAAATTTTCTTTGAATGAAAGTACTGGGTTTCTTCGTGTATTTCATCCATTAAAAGTTCAGCGATCTGACTTTGTTTATGATTTTGCTGAATTGGATGTCTCTCAATAATATTTTTATATGTAGGGTTCTTATAAAGGAAAAGACAACAACTTATATTGTTCATACTAGTTTCTAGTGGAACTAAGCAGTTAAAAGAAGTAACTTGAGTATGTTTTATTAGATTATCATTCTGGACAGTGTTAGAAGATTAAAATTAGAAGACCTAGCATGCACATGGCATAAAGGATGTGCAAGAAGATTCTTTCTAAACATTTAAGGTCGAACATGGGCTGTATTTGTTGGATGGTTCCATGTCCTTATATGAGTCTTATTACTCGGAATATATTTAAATATAACTTAAAACAAATTTCATCTTTCCCATTTATCTCCCCCAACCCAAGTAATGAAAAGAACTTCACAGAAATTAAATTTCTTAGAGCTTATCAATTGATCTTCGTGTTTTATTAACATAATGTATAATAACTTGTGCAACTACTTACAAAAGTTGCCAGAGACCATAGTTAAAACATACAAGTAGTTAAAATATAGGTTCACCTGAGAAGTTCCTTGATATAAGTCAGCCACAAGCCCAAAGAGATACCCTTTTCATTACCAGCAAGAGTCTTAAATAGACTATGTGCCGTTGACCGATCAGCCACACCAAAAATAGCAGGAGCCATACGGACAAAAGCCTCCTCTCTAACAAGCATGCCCTACAGTAGCGGGAATGGACAAAATCTAAGAACAAAACTTTCAGACTTCATTGTTAATTGTTGAAAGAGAAAAAGGCATAGTTCAGGAGTTATACGGACAAAAAGGCATTGCCAAATTACATTCTTACAAGTGTATTCCTAGCTAAGATTGGTGAAGTAAGAGAATCTATTCCATTGGACAAATTATAATTCATTTAAAGAGGGGAAAGCCTATTGGGAAGAGATATCCACTGCAGAGGAATAGACACTGATGAGAGACTGGACAAGGTGTCTACGCACCACGGTAAGCACAACACACTTACCAAAGTAAACGATAATTACCCACTCTCTAAGACCGCGCAATACTGAGAACGTAGCTAATAGATTTTTCTCCATTATACATGCAGCTCTGGTTAACCTACTGTGCTTCCCCACCACCTCTGATTCTTCATGGTTAAAATCCTCCTAGTTTAAGTTCTTAAGTCAAAAAGAAATGCTACAATGGGCTCCTAAAAAACACAATAGCTCTATAAGGTAAAACCACCCATTGAGACCTTTTTAGTAATCTCAACATAAACATCATCAATTCTATTTTCTCTTCATACGAAACCAAATTTTTATTCAAAACAAAACTAGAGTACAGCACAAGAGATGGAACCAGTGGTCCTCCCAGAAACATAAACACTTTCTCTGTATGAATATTTAGAGGGGTGAACAAAGGGGGATAAAAGTAACAAGAAAAAAGGGGGTACAACCATTCTTCCCCGTTTACTCCTTTTTCAGTTATATAATATATACTCTCGACACAAATATATGTAAAAAGTCAGGTCTTCGAACAAAATATTGAGCATGAGAATAATTTTAACAAAAATACATGCACAATATGTTTTCATGCATGTATTCAAACAAAATACGCGCATGAGAACATTTTTTAACAAAATGAGGCCTAAAGAGCTCGAGGTTTCCTATGAATAAACCTGAAAAGAAGCTCTTGCTGAAGCTTTGGCAGGCTCTTCAGAGTAAGGATTCTCCCACGCAAGCATTGTTATGAATACAAGTCTCTGGAATGCAAGCTCCTGCACCCAAAACAATGGTATCCAAAAAAGAGGGAAGAAAAAAATATGACTTACTTAATCCGTGAGTATACTAGTACCATAGCTTACAGATATTGAAAAGCAATAGCATAGGGAAGAAAGAAAACAGAATAGGACAAAAAAAATGCTCTAGACTTCAGGTTCCAATTTTTTTTTTAAATAATAAAAGACAGAACTTTATCAATAGGAACAAAGAAGAGGAATAAACTGAAGCATGAAATACAAGAAACTCCATATGCTAAATGTGACGGACCTTAAGTGAAGGATGAACATTAGAACTATCCCTTGATAAGAACCTAAAGCAGCAGTACTCAACCAGATTGCGTGCATCATTATATACAGATTCTGGGACGAGTGCTTTAAAGATTTTCTGCATTTTCTGAGCAGTCAATCCATTTAGCCTGCAAATCTTAACATCAGATGGTCAGATAATGTTTGATCACTTTATAAGTCAAGCGTGCATAACAACCCGAATAAGCTCTTGAGGAAAAGAAAAGTTCTCCGCATAATAGCATACTTAAGGGTCCAAACTAATGGTGACAAAGTAAATACCCATACGTTAAGCAGAACACATATTAAATCATGAAGCGTATACCAATTAACATTTAGAAAAAAAAAAAACTTTAGTTCCCCTGCTCCTTCAAATCAATTCTTCAAGTTTACAAGGATAATATTTTTTTAAGAAAGGTGTTTCCCTGAATGATTGGAAAATCACAAGTTCCAGTTTAATAGAAGTTGTATTCATAGTCTATTTTAGATCCTTGTACATTTAATGTAGCTACACTCCTAAAAGAGCAATCTCGCAAAATATCTGACAGAAAGTAACAGGATGCAGTTAGAATTCCTTCTTGTGATGATTTTGCGGGTTATCTTGTTCCGGTTTCATGTTCAAGAATAAAAAGTTGACTCTAGATAACTTCGTTTTCTCCAGTTAAATATACAATATTTTTTGTAAACAATAGTTATATTTGCGAGGCGCTCTAAATGGATACCCAATTAAAAGAATTGTAGCTGACTCTTTCAGTGTATAACTGCAGAAACAAGTAAATTCCTTTCTTATGTAGTTTGTTCATTTTCTTGCTATATTGTGTTTATGCAGTATATTTTTTTCCTCCTTTCAAATATCTCTTTTGTCTCCTAGTAAAATGTTCCCATATGGTAAAAAAAAAATTATAAGGACTTCCATCACAATGTTACTATTCATTTCACATAAACTGAACCTAAGCAATGCCAATGTAAAAATCTCAAGCAAAACGCTGTATCTGCTACGTATCTTCACCTGCTAAATTGCTCGATAGATACAATGGCAGCTAAAGAGAGAGTCCCTTGCGGCATTCTGCTATTAATGGTTTGCTCTGCCACAAATATGTCCTCCATGATTGAATCACCAATATCATTTTCAGGAACCGGCTTTTTACTCTTACTAGGTCTTACCAGTGGAGATGTCACTTCGTTCAAAAACTTTTGGGTCTTTAGGAGCCATACATTCAACTTATCTTGCACCATATCTGTCAAGAAGCATGAAGTTTTTCACAGCTAGAACTAAAACAAACTCGAATATAGGTTACTAGATTTTGTGAAATATTAAGCCCAAAATAAGTATTACAAAGTAATATATCACGCTGCCTATAAGCAATACATATCATCTGACTTTTACCTCTAAATTTTGTGAACAGAAAATTATCATGCACGTGATGTAACATGCCATAACTTTTACTTTTATTCTTTTAAAGGTCATACAAGAAATAAAACACGCAAAAGCATAATGCAACAACACATTCAACCAAACTAAAACGGATACAGATTCGGTGTTATGTGAACACCACCTTATCAATTAGCTACATAAAGTAAAAGCCAAATTTTAGTACAAGGACTTAACAGGTTGCACTTGCACTGATATCACTTTGTTGTAATAGAGAAGGCCTAACCCAAATTGGCACCCCTAGAGAAGTGTAAAAGGAGATAAAAATCAAGTTGTTGTGCTACACTCCTAAAGTTTGCTTAAATTATCTCCTTAGCACTTGAACCCACATGCAACTGAACTCCACTTTCTCACTTTCTGTCTTGATTTCGTGTTTTTTTTAGTCAAATAATCAAAGAGTACATGAATAACACATAAGTCTATAAATTAACCCGTAAACTGTAAGGAACTTGAAAAGAACATAATTCCCAATTATTACAGATTAAAAGCCCTACTCCCCCTACAAATGAGAGTAATAAAAATAAAATAAACAAACAAGCACGCAAAAGATTTATAATGGTTCACTCTTAATATGAATGCTACGTCCACTTTACGAGAATCACACACCTCACGCCTTGTCAGACTCTCTGTGTTTTTCTTTTCCCTTTAAACTCCAATACCCAAAACCCGCGCCCTAAATATAACTATACTCAGGGCAACCCCAAACACATGTGCCACTCCCTTCCAACCGTGTTGACTCTGCGTCAGGGCAGCCTCCACACAATCCTCATAAATCGCAATCTTCGGTTTATTCCATAAAAGAAACCAGCGCTTGAATTTTTGTTTTTCTTCTTCATTTTCATCTTAAACAGCTAGGAGAAACTAAAAACTTTGCACTCTAGTCTTTTGCACAATCATTTGTTCAATTGTTCTGCCATAAACATTAAAACCCAATATCTACTTAAGCAAGCACCACATTAAAAAAACACAAAGAGCTTCAAAAAACAAAAAAAAGAAGTAAATAATTTGATTTAAAAAAAAAGGAAAAGAAAAAGAAAAGGGCTTACTGGCTTTGATGCCGTTGAGCTTCCATCTGTCCCCCAAAGACTGCCCCACAAGCATGAAGCGAGACTTGTTATAGTCAGGAGAATCCCTGCCATAACATGTAAACCTCCATAGCTCAGAGCCAGGCGGAGGTTGAGAAGACTTCAAGTGGGCAAAAGACAACTTTGAGAGCATTTTATTCTTTATTCTCTTTAATGGGTTTGGATTTCAAGACTTGTTAAGCTTTTTTGGTCTTGTGGCCGGTGGGACAGTATTATGTCTATGAAGTACGAACATAGATGTTCATTTTCATGAAACGTTTTGTACGGCTTTAGATGAAGGAGATAGCTAATATTAGCTGTTAGCTCCGGTGATGGCTGCTACACGACAAAACGGGAAAAGGGTAAAGGCAATTAAGCAAAATTCAACACAGATTGGGTCTCAACTCTGAGCTGAAATAATCACCAACAGGCAACATTGGACTCGGCCTCGAAGTATTGGGAGTTGGTTTTGTTTTTATTTTTTTTTATGTTTTTTAAGAAAAAAAAATAAAAAAATAGAAAAAAATAATATTTGATATAATTAGAGATAAAAAATAGAAATGAAAATGAATTTTTAATTTAGTATAATGTATATAAATAGAATAAATAATTATTTAACATAACATTGACCTTAAAAATGTAAGACTACCTAAATATTTTATTATATCTTTCTAACATCCTTATTATGTTAAATAACCAAATAATAGTATAATAATAGTATTATATAGTTAAATTTCTTGGTATTAGTATTTTTAATGTTTGTGCTATGTTAAATACTGTCATGTTGTGTTAAATAATGTTTGTATTACATTAAATAACTATAATGTTACATTTTTCACAATACATGTTACATTCAAGGAACGGTATTTCAAGAAAGACCAGGCAAAGTCAAACTTTTATACTTCAAATGTCACTATTTATAAAGAGTGTTTTTATTTAAAAGAATAAGATATGAAATAATGAGAGTGTTATCTTATCCATAAAAAAAATACAGTGTTACCTTATAAATAACTTACTTGTGTTATGTTATTTTCGTAGTCAATATTCGAGGAAAATCATCCCTTTATCCCATTTAATTTACTTTAATCCCTGAATTTTAAAAATAGTTACATTTTTATAGCCAAATTTTTAATTTAAACATATGAATTCCCGAGCTTTGTTTTTTGACATATTTAGCACCCAATACTAAAAATAACGAATTGTTTATGAAATTTAACAAAATTAATCACGTTTTCATCTCGTGATAATTTAAAATTTTACAAAAAAGAATTACAATAATGTACAAAATTTTCTCTGCTACTCTTAAAAGATATTGAAGAATACAACATTTTACACTTGTAACTATTAATGTAGAATTTTTAATTGTTATGTGATAAGGATGTAATTATCCTTGTTAAATGTCAAAAATCGTTCATCAGTTCTAGAGTCAAGAACCAAAATGATCAATAATCGAAAGTTAAATGAATAATATGCCAAAATTAAAAGTTCAGAAACTAAAATATCACATGTTCAAAGTTTGGAGGCTAACGGTGCAAATAACCCAAAACAAAATGTTGCATATAGTAAATTTTGCGTTTCAAGTGGTAGTGCAACTAAACACATCATAGGAAGCAAAACTTGAAATTTCTAAGGAGGCGTTTGATGCGCAGTATTCAGTGGGAATTATATTCCGGAGAAAGTGATAGAGAGTAAAAGGCTTGAAAGAAAAACAACCAAGCTGTATTCCCGTTCCGCAGATATCATTGGAAACACTTTGACATAACTTGGTTTTTCAAGGAATCTTATTTGCCAAGAGAATATCTACAGATAGCAATTAAAGAACAAGAATATACAAGACATTCAATGAAATCAATTCTCACAACTCCCATGTTTAGCAAGATAATTCCTTTGCTACGTGAAAAGATCAGCGGGAGTAACCGAGTTTTCCCCCCACTTGCCTCACTTGGGCTTTTCCGGTTTTCGTCGTTTCTTAGTCTGCAATGGTGGTGGCACAAAGTGAAAAAAAAAAAAAAAAAAAAAAAAAAAAAAAAAAAAAAGAGGATAACAAAACAATAGGAACAGAAGAATAAATCCCACTAGTTCCTATTAAGGATCTTAAACAAGCATATTATGGTACCGTCTAATCCTGGGCATTCATACATCCTGTGCCACATCAGAAACTATGAACTCACATTCATGCTTATGGTTCCTCAAATTGAATATGTTACATGTACAAATGTGCTAAAACCAAGCATACACTAAAAGCAAAGAAGCGGCTATCTGAGCTAAAGGCCAACCTGATCACATGACCTTTGCGCTTAGTAGTTAGGTGGTCGCACACACCTGGGGTACAGTACGGGAAGAAAATAATTATAACGGCGTCACTTCCGCTGCTTCTTGGGTAGAGGCTCTGACTGGCTTTCGCTCTGTCAAATTGGAAAAGAATTTACAATTGAAACAAAACAGAAACCTAAAAAACAAAAATATGAAAAGTTGCACATGTGATTGCTGTAAAAAATAGAACCCAAAGTTCCACCTCCTCCGAGACGGACTTGAGAGGCAAAAAGTGACACAATACTGTTACATAACTCATATTATAAAGACACATCGTCAGCTGAGTCAATCCCATCTAAGTCGGGCAGCTGACTAGCTCCCGTACGTCAAACACAAGGCCGATAAACCCAGTAATTAACCTTAGCCCGAAGGTCTTACTCATAAACTGACATGGCAGCCTTTTAGCCACGTAATTGTTCAACATGTATGCTATACTTCATATAGCTTTGCCAAAAAACATACAATGTCAGTTACTGAACAGCTTACGTGAGTAAATTTAAGGCTTCCACGGTATCACTAGCTTTTTTTTTTTTTTGGAAGGGGTATCACTAACTTTTTAGCAATATATATCTACACAGTTCGGGATTTTCTACATTTTCAAAAATTAAAAACCATTAATGAAAGTGAGCATTTTCTTCTGCGACCAGCATGTTTCAGGAATATTTTAGTTTACATAGTTACTAAATTGTGATGTTTTCAAGAAGGTTCGATTTAGGCTCCTTCCCTTCCACTGCATAGATGCGCGAGCAGGTACTACGAGCCCTCTGTCCCGCGCATCTAACCAGATAAGCATATAGTTCATTTTGATACTCAAGTTCAAGTCCATAGGCTAAGGAGAGAGGCCGAGGAATCCTCAAAAGAGAGAGAGAGCTGCAGTTCTTACACCAGGATGAACAAAGAATTTGATTTCTCTCTCTCTCTCTCTTTTAATTTTATTTTTAATCAGGATTTCTTGAAATAATTTTGTATCCCATAAAACGGACCTTCTGTAATCACTGCACAAGAAAGAAAAAATACATAAAATTATTACAACTATTAACAAGGTAGATAATCCTTACAGGATTTGAGAGCTGCTCGCGAATATAGGCCATTGATCTCAGCATGGCGCCTAATGTGTCCCTCGAAACTTGAAATTTAACCTCTGACTCCCCTGTTGTTGTCTCAGTGTCTTGAAGCTGAACAGAAAGCAAATTTATTACCAGCTAATGAAGACAGCAGAAACAACATAAGCATTAGGTTACAAGGATCAAGATTGATAAGATATTACTATTAGCTCATAGAAAACTCAACCTTCATATCATAACAAGAATAATGGAAAATAAACTATCGGATTTTGTTTCCTATTAAGGAAAGTTGCAAGACCAAATCCCAATGATATATTACAAATCTACTAGGAAAATGAATAAACATAAAGATGAAAAGTTCAGTGGAAAACTATCCGACAAAAGATTACCGAGGAAATGCAAAGAATACAGCAAGCATCGCATATGCATACACAAAGTAATTTAATAGCGTCTCTGTTGATGTGAAGGGATAAAAAGTTACCAATAATTAGACTAATTTTTAAGCCTAACTCATAAGCAGATTAGCCAAAACTTCTTTCTTTTTGTTCTTCATCCGACACCTACAATCTTTTTTTTTTTTTTTGGATCCCTGCTAAATTTGTATTGCATTGCATATCACATAACCTCGACCAAAATGAAGAACTCTTTGAGCAAATAATCCTAGAAATTTCTTCAGGTTGTTTGCAGAAGTCCCGGCAAGGCAACTCTTTATATGTATGTGTGTATTTTCCCGAAAACAAGTGACAAAAGAATTCATTGAAAATGACAAAGATATCACATCTTAGCAAGGAAATAATCAAACTAGGAAATAAGTCTCCAAAGGTTAAAAGAGGCATTTCCATCCCTAAATAGGACACGATTATTCTGAAAAGAAAAAGTCAATAGCCATTCCTTTCTAACAATAACGGGTAAAACAAGCAGAGTACATCTCTCCTGTCTCACAATGCTTCTTTCTTAACAAACTTTCCATACTGGGCACATGGTGTAGAATTTGAATTCGCATACCTTCAGATTTATCACGGCAACCTTATTAGCTGGTGTTGAGAGTTGTTCACTGATGTAGGCCATAGACCTCAACATCGGTTCCAATGAGACTCTCGATAGCTGAAACTTAACCTCCGACTCTGCTGATGGACTCCTGCTATAATCTTGCAGCTGTAGCAAGTAAGAGTTCAAGTGTGTATGAATAAAAAGGCCTCTGATCAGTGTTGCATGAGTTGCAGGAAGACATGTAGAGATAAATGTTTAAAGAGAAAAACAAATCAACAGCAAGAACAAAAAAATAAAATAAAACAAAATAAATAACACGGGTCGTCAGCAGTATATACAAACAAATAAATAAATTTATCTCTGGATTGCAGCTCTCTACATTGGAGCAACCAACTTGATGTGATTGACGACAGATATTATCCAAGCTGTCTTACGTTTTATCCGTACCTTCAAATTAATGACAGCGACTCTGTTCCCTGGTGTTGAATTCTTATTCTCCATGACCCAAGTCATTGACTTTAAACAAGGGAGTACAACCTATGCAGAAAAGAAAAATCAATACGTCCCTGTATTGAAACAGAAAAATATATGAAATAAGAAGAAAACAGGAAACAATTCCTTTCCATACCATGTTTTCAGTACCATCATCTCTGTGAAGAGAAACAGGGGCCATACGTGGCAAATTCAAGTCAGCAACATTTTGCACAGGAGCTCCAGCATCATTAAGATTAAATCGCCTTAGCACTTCATCTTGGTGTGGCCACAACAATGGGGTTGCATCTGAAGCTAACATCGAGCTCTTCCTATCATCATATCCAGTCCCACTAACCTGAGAGGTAGGAGGTGGCACTTTAGCAACGTTTTTCTTCACAATAGTAACCTTCTTCCCGCCATCTCTAAGGGCATTCATTGCTGCATTGTAAGTTTCTGTAGCAATTGCACCTTCCTCTGCATATCTAATGGCTTCCCGACATAGATTGTTGTACCGCAAGGTTAGAGACTCTTGACCTTGTATGTCAGCACTACGTTCATCTAAACCAGATCCAGTCTTTGCATTTCTTGTCCAACGTTTCAGAATGTAATGAGAAGGCAATTTAAGTACATTGGTCACAGTAAAAACGGTCAAAACATGTCTACAAAGAATGCCTGAATACTCAAACATTTGACAACTACAGTCAGCTCTTAACTCAGGATGGTTCAACGTGACAATATATGCCTTATTGTCATCCTCAAATTTAGCGACCCTGAAAGTGCTAATGGCTCCATCACCATCAATCCTATTTGCAGTATACACAAAAGTTTCAACTAGCTCTTCTTGAAATTTTGTGAAAATTTTTCTTGTATAAAGGTCGGCTGCCTGTTTCTCCATAGGAGATGGTGTCCTCAATACTGGAGTTGTGCAAATTGTATCAAAATCCGCACCTATTTCTTTTTCAAACCAGTTCTCTAAAGCTCTTTCATATTGCCTAAAGAACATTGGTAAAGTTGTCTGTTGATTTACATAACCTTCGAAGAAGGAACCATCATACCCTTTATTTGGAGAAATTGCAGCAAAAAAGGAATCCCGAAAATAAACAGGAACCCATTGAGCACGGGCATTATATAAAGATTGCAGCCAATCATTTCTTCTGAGATCATATTTATCAAGGATAGAATTCCAAGAGGATTCAAACTCCTCAACAGTTTCAGTCAAATTGATACAGTTATAAAGTTCCAACTGAAAATTTGGATGAGCATGACAAACATGAGCCAGCTTCTCCTGGCCTTCTCTTAAAACATGCCACTTACTAATACAGTGGCGAGATTCTGGAAAAGCATTAGCAACTGCAACCTGTATTGCTCTGTCTTGATCAGTGGTAATGGAGACAGGTGGGCGATCATTCATTGCCGTAAGAAAAGTCTTGAAAAGCCATGTAAAAGTAGCTTCTGATTCATCTAGAAGTAACGCACAACCAAACAAAACTGTCTGACCATGATGATTCACCCCAGTAAATGGAGCAAAGGGCACCCTGTACTGATATACCCTGTATGAAGTATCCAGAGTTACTGCATCACCAAAATGACTGTAAGCTGTTCTTGACCTCGCATCAACCCAAAACACATTAGTCATGTGATTATCTTCATCAAGTTGTATGGCATAGAAGAAGCCTGGGTTCTCAGCTTGCATTTTCTTGAAATACTCCAGCAAATTCTGAGCATCCCTCCCTAGTGTCCTTTTTCGACTACCAGGCCTAACTGGATAATTTATTGTTGCAATGTTCTTAACTAACCGGTTCGACTCCACAGGAAGAGAGTTCCTAACATTTTTCTCTACGGGAACACGGTTTCCATCCATTGAGACAAACATAACACCACTAGGAACTGTCCCCACCCCTTGGTAAGCTTCAGCCACATTCTTTGCAGTGCCAGCAAAATGCCTACGAGGCCGAAGATAATGAACTTTGCTGGGACCAACCATGGCATGGCTGTGCTCCTTTACAAATTTTGTAACAACCCACTTTTCTTGACCTTTCAATTCTACCCTAAGCATTGCCTCACAAGTATCACCATGCCTTCTTTTCAAACCCTCTCTGCCACATACAAACTCCCGAGAGATCGTCATGCAATCAGGTTTAGACCGGCTAGAGCTAGACTGACTAACTTTCGAGTTAAAACCCAAACGTCTTGCGTACTCGTCATAGAAAGTCTTGGCAGCATCCTCAGAGTCAAATTCCATGCCAACATATGGCTCGCTAATCCCATCTTCATCATCGTGAACCGTGGAATTTGTGTCTCCACCTTCATTGGGTTCGGCATCTCCATCATCCGCCATTGCACGATGACCCATCCCTTCCACATCAATCACTTCAACATCCATAATTATTCACTATGCAAAGACTTATAATTATATTTTATGAGCCAACTAGAAGGCAGTACACCACATTTTCTATAATTATACCTATGGAAGTAAATGTATATCCAATCTGCATCAGAAAACCAACCAACAAAAACATTTTAACAATTAGACTATACAAAGAAAAACACATTAGCATAAATGAATAAATTAATTAATTAATATATAAAACAACCCATTAAATACAAAATAAAATAATTAATTGCATTTATTTATTTTTTTTTAAGTAAAATTGGAAATCTTTATAACTAAACCAGCTTTAACCTTTTTATAAAATTGCCAAGGTCACTTTATTTTTTGGGTTAAACTACCGCCCTTTTTTGCTCAATACATCGTAAAGAGAACCAAACGCAGGTCAAAAAACACTTATACAGTGAGCTTGCTTGCATTGAATCATTGCTAATAAAGGCTCAAACGACAATTTTCATTTCAAGAACCTAAACTTTTGAAATCAATTTTATTATTTGATTCTCTCTTTCAGAAAAAACACACTTAATTTGACCCAAAACTTCAGAATTAGGGTTTATACAAAAGAGGAAATTCTAGGGTTTTTCAGCTCGGAATTCCAAATTAAAGCCCCGAAAAGAGAAAACCACATGAAGAGCTGTACCTGGAGCGAAGAAGGGCCAAATCGACGGCGTTTAGGGGTCGCTCTTCAGGGTTTCGCCGCCGAGCGATTACAGAGTCGGAGGGAGGAGAGAGAGAAAAAGGGAGAGAGAGAAAGAGAGAGAAAGTGCAGCATCGTATGGGCTGCGGATGACATAAGTAGACGCGCGTTGTGTCAGCCGTCGATTTAGATCAAAGGGTTGAGATTCACTATAACAAACCTCAAGCACTTTATCAGATTACGATGAACTTGTTTTGGGTCGTGGGCCCCATCATAGTAGTGTTTTGGTGATGTAGGCTCTAACTCTCTTCCGTTTATTTTTCCTTTAAAAACAATCTCATTTTTCAATTTTTTTAAGAGAAAAAAAATTCTCTTATTTGATTTTTTTTTTTTTTTAACAACAAAACAAAACAAAAGGGGATCTCCAGCTTTGTAAGCATCGTCCAAATGTGAACACATAATAAGATTTAAAAAAAAAAAATCACCACGTCTAAATTTTGAAGAATTGCTTAGGTGTTAATTTTTTAAGAGGACGAAGGAAAAATATATTTCATTTCACTTCTGAGAATAGGCAAAAAAATATATATATATTTCGCTCCTGTTTTGATTTTTTTGTCACTATTACTTTTATCATTATCATTATAATTCAATGTTCTAATTACAACAATCATTGTAATCTTTCTATTAGTTAAATGTGAGGGTAATACAAAAGACGATAATTGAAACTACTTCAGTAAATACGTTTTTAAGGTTATATGAAAAATGGAACAAATGGTTATTTGGAGCTCTGTCTTTCATCACTACTCACCAAATCCAATATTATTTTAATTTAGTCACAGAAAAAAAAAAAAAATAGAAGGGCATAGGATGCATAAGACCATAAGCCTATATCAGATAATCTAGAAAAGGAATAGAACGCCTCCTGGCCACCCTAAACCCTATGTCCTCTCTCGCGGTCCTCCATTGTTACCACGACTGCACTTGTGACCATTATGATATTATTTCAAAACGGAGCAGGTTGAGAGCGAGGACGAGAACCGGTAGAGAAAAGTAGGAAGATGAGATGAAAATAGAGCTGTAAGTTTGGGTCGAGTTAAACATGTCGTTTTGAAGCCCGTCACCACGCAAGGGCCGGCACAAATCGTCTGGTCAGGCTAGGCCGATGCTTTAGGCCCATAGCTATTTTCAAGCTGACCCGAAATGCTTTTATTTTATAGATATTCCTTTTAAATTGTACTTATAGAAGAACTGATCGGTCCGAGTCTGGCCGATCTTTTTCTTTTTAAGATCGGCGTGACCTGACCTGAATATCCCTTCAGGTTGTCAAGTCGTGACTGAGCTGAGCCAGGTAGCTCAAACTTTCAACCCTAACTATGTTTGGTAAGAAAGAAAGAAAATATGATAAAAAGGAAATATGGAAGTGATGGAAAATAGCAATGATGAAAAGAAAATTGATTTTCTTTTATGTTATTTGGTATGAGAAGATGAAAAAAAAATGAGCTTACCTTCACTTGTTTGGTATTGGAAGTTAAATTGGGAGGAAAGAAAAAATCTTACTCGTAAATTACTTTTATACCCTTAAATTTTTTGCTTGGATGTTGATGGAGAAAATGGTAGTTTAGTAACTTTGCTCATTTTAATGGGTTGTCCCCATTTTTCATCCCATTTTCTGCCCACTTGTGGAAAGAAAAAAAATAGTGGGGCCCACATGTATTATTTTCCGCTCCATTTTTTCTTCCTTTCTCTCTTCTCTCCTACCAAACAACCTACATTTTCATTTTTCCTCCTAAAATCCCTCCACATTCTTCCTTCCTTTTATTTTTCTTTCCTACCAAACATACTCTAAATGTGAGATAGAAAGGAAAGTTGGTCTAAGGTTTTGTAAGGGTATTTTGAACAATGTGAATGTGTGGGACCCATATTTACTAATATGATAATTTCAAGATTAAGTTTTGGGTTATTTACTATTTTATACACGGTAGAGTTTATATTTATTTAGAAAGTATACCATTGATTTTTAATGATCATCAAATATATATCATTAAATTGCATTAAATTTTAAATGCATAACTTTTATTGGTCAACAATTAACTTTAAATCTTAAAATATCCAAAATAGCTTTAAGAGAAAAATCATAAAATATTTAAAAGAAGGAAAATCACAAAATAAAATAACTTAAAAAACAACAACAAAAACGACGGTAAGGAACTAAAAAAGAAAAAAAAAAAAATCCCCTCACTCTTTAGTCCAACTCCTACTCCTTTTTTCCCTTTCCCATTCCTCTTCACCCCAACCACCTAAATCTTCAGTGCACCATCGCCAAGCACTTTCTTTGTCGGAGATAGAAAACCCGTTGGACCTCCCGCATATGGGTATGCTTTCAATGCTCTATATTGTCCACCATTTCTTCATCCTTTCTTACATTTGGGGTTTTTTGTTCTCTTTTCTATCTCTTGTTGAGATATAACTTTTTCGTTTACAATAGTTCTCTATGGACACATATCAATGTTGATCTTTTGATTCTGGACATGGGTTTTGAAGCTTCTATGGTAAAATTTGTTTGGTTTTTATTTTCGTATTCTGCTGTTTGTGGTTTATAGTTTTTTTGGCTGGCTTTTCGTAAATGGGGTTTGTAGAAGTGATTTGAGAAAGAGTAAATGTGGGTTTCAATAAGAAGATGATAAAGAAAGAGATGAGTGGCTCTTTTTGTAGATGAAATGCAGCAAATGAGTATAATTTTTTTTGCCCTGTTTTGGATCACAGTTCGTTGATAAGGCTTGTAACTCTGAAAATGATTTTCGGAGAATTTAATAGTGTGTTTGTTAGAATGCGATTTGACATTCTTTTTTCGCTTTTTTTCTGCCAAACAACATAAAAAAAAAATCTTATTCTATCATTCTACTATTTTACATCATTCATTTAGATATTTTACTTTTTTTTTCTTTATCTTTTCCATCCATCCTACCAAACCATTACAAAAAAATTGAACTTTAACGTCTCTAATTAGATGACAATTTTATAAGAACCCATCATCTAATGTGCTAGTCTAAATCTCGAGCTAGTTGACAAAATATTATACGATAATTTCTTATAAAATTGTCGTATAATATTTTATATTACACAAAACCGTCATCTAATGTGAGCGCAGAAACTCAAAAATGAAATTTAATCTCGAATCTGTCATCATTTCGAGAGAAACCCTTTGCTCATCTCTCTCTCTCTTCTTATGAACCATATCGCCGCCACACATCGCCCAAAAATCACTCTCTGTCTCACTCGACGCCGCCACCGCCATTCTCTCTCTCCGTCTATCTCCACCAGTGTCGTCGTCGGCCGCCATTGTCGTAGCTGACCCGCCACCAGCAGCCTCCGCCGTCGCCAAACTGCCAGCAGCTGCCACCGCCGCGCCAAACTGCCACCAGCATCCTCTGTCTTCATTTTGGTTAGTTTTGTTTTTGGTCAGTTTAAGTTATAATATTTTTTGAATTTGAAATTTATAATAATGTTCATTATAGATTAGACGGCGGTTATTTTCAATTAGGTTAGACTATTAGACCACGATTTTTTTTAAATATTATATGATTGGTAGGATTAGAACAAATTAATTGTGTTTCTAATATTAATATTTGAATGTAAATGTGAATATTTGTTGTATATGATTTAAGAAGTTTTAAGTTAGTTAGGTTAGGATTAAGAATGAAACTAAATCTACATTTAAGTTATTTAGTACATTTTTTGTATATATTGATTAGGTTAGGTTAATTTAATGTTGATTAGGTTAGTTTTAAGTTATTTAGTTTAGGATTAAGAATGAAACTAAATCTATATATGTTGATTCTCATAAACATGGCGGGCCGTGATAGGCTCGAGGAAGAACTTAATACCGCACGAGAGTTATTTGTGGAGGAAGGCACTTCCGATGGGGGAAATCAATATGAACTTAGGAAAAGAATAAAATTTGACCCAATGGAAAATGAAGGGCAACTATAATGCGTAGAGTTGTCAAAATGAGGGATAAATAAGAAAGAATAGAAGTGCAATTTGATGAAAAAAATAATCCCATTGAAAAAGTGGGAAATGAGCTATAAAGTTATGTTAGTGTTTTGGCACGTGCCAATAATAATAGAAGATTGAAAACATAAAGAAAATAAAGATAACTTGAGTCGAATTTGGCATGATTTGGTTCAAAGTTTCATGGTTCCAGATATCGTAAAAAAATACGAGCTTACTTGTGTGGCAAAGATGGCTTGAGACTTTAAGTCGAACCTATTCACGACCTTTGTAAAGCCGTTAAAGGATAGTCCTCAAGTCTTTGAACTCCCAAAGAAAGTGGCTAGAAACTACCGTTCAATTACCCCGGAGTAATGGAGGAAGTTTGTGGAGTATAGACTTAATGACAATCGACGTGCCGTTTCCGAAGAAGCATCTAAGAGAAAAGGATCGTACAAGTTCCCGCATAAGAATGCTTGTGGGGGATATAGGAAAGCAGATGAAGATTATGTAAGTCTTCAATTACTTTTTTTCAATGATATTAATTACTTTTTGTTTGTATTATAATCTTTAATATACTTTTTAATTGAATGTAGATGCGAATGCATAACATCACGAGGAGCAGGATCGAGCCACTTTATGGCAGTTTATACACAAAAAATTAGACGAAACTTACAAATTTCTAGAATGCGAAGAGATCGGTAAATTAATTGTGAGTTATTACTTTTCATTTTAATATTTGTTCTATCAATGGGAAATATGCTAAGAAATTTGTAATATTTTTGTTCTAAATTTTGTAGGACCATTATGCCAAAAAAGAGTCCCAAGAAAAGTTTCAATTTCAGGGGACTAATGATGTGCTCACTAGATCATTAGGAAACCTAGAACACTCTGGCCATGTTCATGGGCAATCTCAATTTGTCAAAAAGTCGACTTTATTTTCATTCCACCGGCAGATTAAGAAGGGATGAGGAGTTGGCAATGCTGTGTAAGAGGGTGAAAATAATGGAGGCCAGATGGGAAGCAATGCAATCATCCCAAGGCCATTCTCCAGCACCTGTAGGAGAGGGAATGAGAACTCCTACGGTGGATCAATGATGTAGTGTTAAAGAGAGTTGTATTGTCCCTAATGCTACGCCACCGACGGAGCTCCCCATATCAGGCCTTAGTGATAGTAGTAAGTGCATTCTTCTGGCTCCAACAGAGGGGAAGAACGATTTTATCGTTGTTGCGACATGGATGGCGTAGTTGGATAGTCGCTCCACCGATGTTGTCCACGGCGTCGCACTTGGGGAGGGAAATGTACGCGTCTCTATTCAATCGACTTATGTGAGAGACGCGCCTCTGCCTATCCCTGCATTTGATAGCACGACTATAGGTGACACTCTCGGAGGATTTGTTGCCTGGCTTGGGAATTTGGTTGAACTAGGGTCCATGAATAAAGTTAGCAAAGCTTCGACCAGAAAAGAACTGTGGAGAATCCCTTGGAGCCGGCGAAGAAAAAAGCTGAGAAACAAGAAAAGTTGAAAAATACACAATGACCCACCGGTGACGGGGAAGTAATGCAAACGCAGCCGGACCAGTTGCGCGGGTTGCCCACAGAAATGCAAGACTTAATGATTCATGTGCGACAATCGATGGGCATTGGTGGAACAATTTAGATTCACCTTTGATTCGATATGACTCATGTACAGAATATGCATATCTTCATTACAGTCGATGATATCGAATGGATGACCACCTATCAAGAATTTAGTCTTGTGTGTATCATGACTTGCATGTAATAATATAACTATCATTATTATTTTTCACAATAAATTATTATTTATTATTTAATGTATAATAACTTTATTTTTTATGTAGTCACTTGTGGTATGTGTGCAATCAGGAGAGTGTCCTATGACGTTGGAGTTTCATGTCCTTGATGCTCACGTCCTACATTCCAGGCTAAGCGCAGCTGGATAAAGAGCAGCGGACAAACGCCATTTGTACATTTTTGTTACAATCACATGCCCGGCGCACTTTGCTCGTGCCATACAATGGAGGAGGACATTGGATGTTGGCCGTGATATCTTTCACAGAAGATAAGGTCGTGTGGTTGGATCTTCTCGTGACGAAAGTACGCGTAGACTTCAGAAGAATGGTTGCCCTGTAAGTTTAGCATTCTTTAAAACTTTCGAACTACTAATTTATATTATTTTCTTTACTAATTAATTGATTTTTTCCATCATTTATTAGTGCATTACGTGGTTGGAAGGCGCAAACAAGGCTTGAGTTTGAACGCTATGTTGATGGGTTCACAAAATTTCTCATACCAAAAGTAAGTGTTCATAATTTCGTTCATTGAATTACTCGAACTTAAGGAATACCATTTTTCATGTACTAAAATTTTTTATTTATTATCAGAAAATTCCAACACAAGAGGGGAACAAAGAATACGGGTTATTCATCTTACAGTATATGCGCGATATAATGAGAGTCAGTGTTAGTGATCTAAAAAAATATAGAGGCATATATTAATGATCATTTGGTAGAAGTGATAAATGAATGAGCCATTATAAAGAGACATATTGTAAAGGTACATATAACATATTATAAAGAGACATATAATTTAATTTATTATGTAATATTAATTTGTTTATGTTCAGTGACTTGTGATAATTGTGTAATCAAAATGCTAATAAATCACGTGATTAATAAGCTAACTCGTGAAAAAAACAATAAAATAACACCAATTTTTTAGCGCATAAGGTAGATATAACGATAGTTTTTAAGTAAAATTGTTGTTATATATATATTTTTAACGACAGTCTTTAAATGTGCTATCTAATCGCTAAAATTGGCATTTTGGAAAGATGTTAGACGACGGTTTTATATATAAACCGTCGTCTAATGTTTTATTTAACGACAGATAAAAATTATTGTTAAATTATACAACAATTTAACGATTTTTAATTAGACGATGAATTTCTTAACCGTCGTCTAAAATTAAACGATAATTATTAACGTTTATTAAATCTCAAATTTCTACCCGTGAACATAGCGTAAAACTTTTACAGGTAGAGTTTGAAATTTGGTTGGTGAGCAAAGCTGGTGCGTATTTTTTCTTTTAAGATTTCTATTATCTTTTCTTATTTTTAGAATTTTTTAGAATTTGTCTTTTTTCTTTCAAGGGTATTTTTGACACTTTAAAAGTCAAAATTGCAGGTATTAAATGAGAAAATGTATAAATTTATGTTAATAATTTAAAGGGCCTGTTTGGTAGCATTTCCATTTTCGTTTCTCACATTTTTTGATGCAAAAAATTGAAAACGGAGATAAAAAACGTGTTTGGCAAAATTTGTGTCAGAAAACAAAAACGAAAATGGCTTTGTCGTTTTCCGGAATTTTGAAAACGTAAAAAAGCCGTTTTCGTTTTCTTGTTTTCATTTTCGGTTTCTTCTTCTTCTTTCTTCCTTGATCATCCTCCCGTTTCTGCTTCTTTTGATTTTTTCTTACCCTTCAGCCGAGCTCTTCTTCCTCCTTCCCTTCCGTTCTTCAGTCGAGATCTTCTTCCCGGCCGAGCCCCGGCGTTCTTCTCGCACAAGAGTCACGCCGTTTGCTTTTCACCGGAGCACCTCCGTTCGCCTGAGCTCATCCGGTCTCTTGTTGCCCAATCTGCGCCGTTCTCTGTTTTCTCACCGAGGTATGCCCCTAGTCAAAAATATTTGAACGTGTTTGATTTTTCCGATCGATTTGGTCGAGCAATTTGTTTTTTTATTTTTTTTATTTTTCTTTTCCGGTTGTCTCGCCGTTTGATTTGCTTATTCAACCAAATCGGTTGCTGTTTTCCATTTGATTTAGTGTTTGTTTTCTATCCTATGCTTGATCTGATCTGGTTTTTTTTCCATTTTTTTTCTTTTTCCCCAGGAGGCCCCCGTTGGGGCTGATACAGCCCTTGGGGGCCTCCCATTGGGGCTGTATCAGCCCCTGGGAGGCCCCCCCGTTGGGGCTGAATAAGCCCCTGGGGGCCTCCCTTTGGGGCTGGCCTGGGAGGCCCCCAGTGGGGGCTGAAATTCAGCCCTAATGGGGGGCTGATTATCAGCCCCCGTTGGGGCTGAATCAACCCCTGGGGGCCTCCCTTTGGGGCTGGCCTGGGAGGCCCCCAATAGGGGCTGATTTTCAGCCCCCATCCGCCCCAATGGGGGCTGATTATTAGCCCCCATCAGCCCTGATGGGGGCTGATTGTCAACCCTGATGGGGGCTGAAAATCAGCTCCCATCAGCCCCCATGGGGGCTGATTGTCAGCCCTAATGGGGGCTGAAAATTAGCCCCCATCAGCCCCCATGGGGGCTAATTTTCAGCCCCCATCCGCCTCAATGGGGGCTGATTATCAGCCCCCATTGGGGCTGAATCAACCCCTGGGGGCCTCCCTTTGGGGCTGGCCTAGGAATCAACCCCCATCAGCCCTGATGGGGGCTGATTGTCAGCCCCCATTGGGGGCCTCCCAGGTCTGCCCCAAAGCCCTGATGGGGGCTGATTGTTAGCCCTGATGGGGGCTGAAAATCAGCCCCCATGGGGGCTGATAATCAGCCCTGATGGGGGTTGATTATCAGCCCCCATTGGGGCTGAATCAACCCCTGGGGGCTTCCCTTTGGGGCTGGCCTGGGAGGCCCCCAATGGGGGCTGATTATCAGCCCCCATGGGGGCTGATTGCCAGCCCTGATGGGGGCTGAAAATCAGCCCCCATCCGCCCCAATGGGGGCTGATTTTCAGCCCCCATTGGGGCTGAATCAACCCCTGGGGGCCTCCCTTTGGGGCTGGCCTGGGAGGCCCCCAATGGGGGCTGATTGTTAGCCCTGATGGGGGTTGAAAATTAGCCTCCATCAGCCCCCATCCGCCCCAATGGGGGCTGATTTTCAGCCCCCATTGGGGCTGAATCAACCCCTGGGGGCCTCCCTTTGGGGCTGGCCTGGGAGGCCCCCAATGGGGGCTGAAAATCAGCCCCCATCAGCCCCAATGGGGGCTGATTATCAGCCCTGATGAGGGCTGAAAATCAGCCCCCATCACCCCCAATGGTCTGTGTGTGTATATACTTTATAAATTGACATTTATTTTAATGATGAAAGTGTTGTTTTAGATGTGTGATAAGGACGATATTACGAAATGACCGGTCACAATTGAGGATTTTTATGTAGAACTGATATACGAAGAGTTAAAGACTGGGATTCAAACATCCACTATGGACAGAAAAACGTGGATGAAAATTGCTATTGAAATAGCAATTAAGTTTGGTAAGCATTTCACAGCAGACTAGCTTAAAGCAAAGTGGAAAGCACGAGGGAGTTTAAGGCATTAATTGAAACAACAGGATTTGGTTGGAATTCTGAGACTAACACTGTCACAGCTGAAAAAGAAGTGTGAGATTCATATGTGGCGGTAAGTTTTGATGTTCTTAACATTTTATGTTATATGAAAGAGTTGAATTGGTGTTTGGATTGCATATGAGTATTTACTCTTGTTTTCTTTATAATATCATAAACATCCTGATGCTAAGAAATTCAAGAAAGGGGGTTTACAGCACTTTGTACAACTTTTTCAGATTTTTTTTGGGACTATTGCTACTGGACAGGGGTCAATGAATGCACATACTGCCGTCAATGTTTTGAATGCGGCGAAAAGGGCGGCCACAATACCGGAAGAGGTGGAGGAGGGTACAGGAGACTCGGATGAAGTCCGGAGTGCAGAAGACAATAGAAACAGACGGTCTTAGGGTCCTACTACTTGATCCAAGAAGAAGGGCAAGAACATCAGTGCAGTTGACACGGCCATAGAGGCTTTGGCAAAGAGTGCTACCCTACGTAGTGAGACATCTGTTCAAAAGGTTGATTTGTTTCAGCAATTTTTAGCTGATAGGCAAGCCCGTACTATGGCATTAGTTGAGGCTCAGAAAGAGGATCTAACTACAACTATTGAAGCCTGTATGGATTTGCTGAATGGGTATGAGCCGTATTTAGAGGACAATGCGTATAATAAGGCAGCGCACCAGTTGGCTCTTGACATTTCCCTTAGGAGGATGTTTGTGAAAATGCCCGCTCATCGGTATCTTTCATGGATTCGAAGCCTAGTGGAATGATTATTGTGTTATTTTCTTTATTTGTTTCCTCTTGGACGTATTTTTTTTTAAGTATTGTTGAGCATATAAAACAGATTTTTCTCTCCAACTTGTGTTTGTTAGACTTTGTTATTTGTTTTTAGTTGAATTGAATTACATTGGCGTTCTTCGTTTAATTAGTTAATGTTATATGGATGTTTGATTAGTTCCAGTCTTGTTCATTTTTTAGGTTAATATGGATTCAGATAGTGAGATTGATGTCAGAGCGGTTGACTTTCTCCAGTCATCAGATGATGATGAACAACCACAACATTATATCCAATTATTGATGTCGGTTGGAAACAGGCGAACTAGGCAACCTCGTCGTAATTCTGCGTTAACAGGACGAGAATATGTTTTAGAACAATTACACGAACATCCCGAAAATTTGTTTGAAATGTGTCGTATGCATCGTGACACGTTCGAAGTAATTGTTCAGTTAATTCGAGGCCGCAACCTACTGCCTTCTTCTAGTATTTCGGCAGAAGAATCTCTAATGATGTTCTTAAGAATGGTTGCTCACTCAGATCGCAATAGAGAGATACAAGATAGATTTTGTCATTCTGGAGAGACAATACACCGGTATTTTGATAATATGCTTACCGCTTTGTCTGCGTTAGCACCTGATGTTATAAAACTACCAAATATGAACATTGTCCCCCCAGAGATTCAACACAATCCTAAGTACTGGCCATGGTTTAAGGTACAATCTGACTCTGCTCATATACTACTAATATGACAAAGAATTTTAAATTAATTGTAACTCACGCCTTATGTATTTTAATAGGCTTGTATTGGTGCAATAGACGGTACACACTTGATGGGTGTCCCACCTGCACATCAACAGACAGTCTACAGAGGAAGAAAACATTCGTGTACTCAAAATACAATGGCGGCGGGTAGTTTTGATATGCTATTCACTTATGTCAATATCGGATGGGAAGGATCAGCTGCTGATTCCAGAGTGTTAACTGAGATTTTAAGAAATCCAGATGACCCATTCGTGGCGCCACTCCCACCAAAATATTACGTTGTGGATTCCGGTTACAGCAACACACAAGGTTTTTTGGCACCATTTCGTGGTCAGAGGTACCATATTCAACAGTTTAGAAACGGTGGCCAACCAACGGGACCACAAGAGTTATTCAATTATTATCACTCCTCACTGCGTAATAATTGCATAGAGAGGTGCTTTGGGGTCTTGAAAGCAAGGTTTAAAATTCTTAAGCATATGACAAATTATTAGATGTCAAGACAAAATAGTATACCAATAGCTTGTTGTGTGATCCACAATTTAATTAAGATGCACGCACGAGATGATCCCCTATTTAGACAATATGAGGTCGATTTGCCTGTAGAAGATATTGAGGGAGAGGGAGAACAAGAAAGGCAACAGGAACAACAACATAGTATGGATGCACAAGAAGCAGAAACATCTGAAATGGATGGTCGGCAACAACGTAATTACATGGTTGATTTTAGGGATCATCTAGCTAATCAAAAGTGGGATTCGTATAGGCGATAATAATTTAAGCTAATATATTGTAATTTTCATATTTTATTAATTATTAGTGTTTTTATTTAGGATTCAATTATTATTTATTTAATATATTAAATACCTATTACATGTTTTCAAAAATGAAACCAAATGCATTTTTAGTTTTTTTTTAAAACTGAAATCAATATCTAAATAAAACTACCAAACGCATTTTCAGAAATAATTCAAAAATGAAAATGAAAACGTTTTCATTTTCATTTTCGTACAGAAAATAAAAACGTTTTGGAACCAATTCCAAACGCACCCAAAGTATTTGATGGGGTCGAAAATTAAAATTATACTTACTGAAATATAAAGGGGTTGTTCTTTTGTATTTTTGAGTTATAGTGACTTAAGTGATACTTTTGAGTTGAGTTTGAGTTATAATTTGAGTTGAAGTTGTAACTTGAGTTTGCGTTTAGATGTGCACATTTGAGTTATGATTTAAATTGAGAATCTATTTAAGTTTGTGTTTGAGTGAGTCAAAACTTAAATTTGTATTTAGATAATATTTTAATAAAAACTCAATGGTGATGAAAAATTTTAATAGGGTATATGGGTGAGATTTTATTCGTCTTTTCATTGTAAATGCATAGAAAAAAATAATCTTAATCAGAATTAAAATAAAAAATTTATAACATTTTTAAAAATAAAAAAAATATTGTTCATTAACTTGAATTCGAGTTTATGAACTCGAGTTGAAGAAAAAACTTAAGGTGTGTTTAGTAAGGGGATTCGTACCCTAATTCAAATAATGATTCATGATTTGCTATAGTATTTTCTCTTAAAAACATACACGTAAATAAAGAATGGTTTTAATCTCATGATTCTAATCTACGAACTAAACGTCTTCTTAAACTCAAATTTAATTTTAAACTCAAATTTAAACTCAAATTTTATAAAAAAAATATAAACGTAAATAAAGTAAGAGGATGTTTGGTAGAGGGATTCTTTTCTTGATTCGAATCATGATTCGTGGTTCGCTACAATATTTTCTCTCATAAAAAATTTACGTAAATTGAAAATGGTTTGAATCACATGGTTTAAATCCTCAAACCAAACGTACTCTAATTCAAATAAAATTTTTTTTTTTTTGAGTTTTCTCATAAAAGAACAACTCAAAATTTAAAGCGGTAAAACACCCTTTTAAGTTTTAACAGCTTTTACGAGTGTTATTTTTATAAATAAGCCTTACAACAAATGCACCTCGTCCGTGTATTTTTCTTTTTTTTTTTTTTAAATAAAGCGCACAAGAGGGGAGAGCTGAAGGAGACCGCTGAAGCAGGCATACACTAAAAATGAAGAACATCGCGGTGCTTCTCATGGGTTGCGGAGGAGTTGGGCGTCAGCTCCTCCAACACATTGTGTCTTGCCGATCCCTTCACTCAAAGCACGTAATTCCTCTCAACTCTTTCCATATCTTTGATCAATTTCCCCCCATCTTTTTGTTTCGATAAGAAAAACTTTATATTGAAAAAGATAATCAATACAAAGGAAGAGGACAAGAAGACGTCCTCAAAGCAAAAACGAGAACAAATAACAACAAAAGATAAAAAACAAAACTATTCCCAGAAAACAAAAAACAAGTCACCGAGCGACCTATCAATTTCCCCATCTGGGTTTTCTAGTTTTCTTTTGTTTCTTCACTTTTACTGTAGCTTAACTATAGAGAATTGAATAATCTAGAATTGAGTATCTTCCTATTTAGTTTCTTGAATTTTATTTGTTATAGGGTGGCTGGTTTTGCAAATTTCGGCTTGGTGGTGGGCAATTCCTATGCTATGTGTGTGCCTTGAACTTTTTACTAATGTTTTTAGTTGCTTACTCTCTTCATTTATTGAAAGATGAAGGGAAAAAAAAAAAAACATTCAAGAGCTATGTATAAATAACTTTTGGTTGAGCTTTTGTAGACCGTTAATCAGTGGCGGAGTTAGAATTTTTTTCTTTAATGGGGCACTATGAAAAATTTAGAAATATTACTTTATTCAATAATCTTTCTTAGTTTCTTATGAAAAAAATGGCACAAAACCGAAATTTTAAATTTAAGTGGGGGCATGTAACCTTTCAACCATGTTGGTCCGCCACTGCCTTTAATGGTGCCATTTGAGCAATGGGGTCAATTTTTGTATGGTCTCTATTTTGGTATGCCACGGTGTTAAGCATTCAAGAGTGACATTTGTTACTTAGAAGTTTTGTGGGCAGTTATTGAACTGTAAGGGAATGCTTGTTCTACAATCATTATGGGATTTCATAATCATGTTGTTAAGCATTCTAGAGCTGTATATCTATGCAACACATGGAAACAGTGTTGGTTCAATGCTTTACGTTTGATTGGCAGGGAATCCGCTTGAGAGTTGTGGGAGTATGTGATAGTAAATACTTAGTTGTTGCCCCGGACGTGTTCAGCATGGAGTTAAGTGATAAACTTTTGTTGGAAGTTTGTCGGGTCAAGTCCGATTCTTCATCCCTGTTGACTCTAAGCAGTTCTGGTACTTCCATGTGTCGTTGTTTTCTCGATAAGGAAAAGTAGCATATTTTGTTTGCTGAATATGATGGTTGTTTCTTCTGCAATTTTCAATGAAGGTGAATGTCAAGTATTCACGGATTCTGAATTAACAAAGAAAATAGTAGACGCTACTGCTCTCTTGGGTACAGGTATATGGCTTCTACGACCCTGTGTTACATTTTCGAACTTTGATCCTTTAATGGTTCACGCCCTTAATTCCAACTTCTGATATCTTTCAGTTGTTCCCTGCAATAGGCTTGGCTCTAGTGGATTGCTCTGCGAGTTCTGAGACTATTGGAGTGCTTAATCGAGCTGTGGATTTGGGCTGTTGCGCTGTCCTGGCAAATAAGAAGCCTGTTACTTCTAAAATGGTAATGAACTGATTTAGGTAGTTGCAATAATTTGTAATAGAAGCAAATATTGTGTCTACATGTGATGCATGGGACATTAAGACATGTTCACTATTGCGTGGTCTCTTCATATACCTATCAGATTTAATGCTGCAGATCGATAAAGACGTTACAATGTAATTATTTTACCATGTACATCTTCATTTTGTTTTCACGTTTGCTAGTGTTCCTTGTTCACCATCCAACATTAATAAATGTTTTTCTCTCCTTCTCTAGTTTAACTAAAACATAAAAAATCTCAGAAAAACTTGCTTCTATGGTCGACAGGAGGATTACGACAAGCTTGTCTCACACCCTCGTCGTATTCGGTATGAATCAACAGTAAGTGACTTTCGCTTTAGCTATTCTAGAAAAGGTATTACTTTTCTATTTGAAAGGTGGTTTATTTGGTTCTCCGGTATCATGGACACGTGTTAAAAAAGATGATGAATTTTTATGAAAGTGCATTATCTGAGCAAGTATTTACTGCTACGGTTCTATTTCATGTACTTTATGGCGAGTTTCTATATATGACGTGTTGCAAAAGAGAAGATCTTAGCTTGTTTGTCTGAATTGGTGATATGATTGGAGGAGGTGGGTTTTTCATGGATGATCCCTTGGCTGCATTACTCTTGTTGTTGGGGAGGTTTAATATATATATTTTAATTACAATTTTATTTAAATATTATTTAAATATTTTTTTATTTAAATATTTTTTAATTATAATTTTATTTAAATATATATTTTTCTATTCAACCCAGGATCGAACCCACACTCCTAAACTCAAGTCCCCACCCCACCCTGACCATGCTGTTCTAGGTCACTGGCAGTTTTTATTTCTTTCGCAATCGCAAGAAAGGGAAAGTTTTTGTGAAGGTGCGTGATGTTGCCCTTGTTTTCACTTCTTTGGCCAGAAAGATTGAAGGCCGGTTTCAAGATGTTGTCTCTTTGGGATAGAATCAAATATTTGGCGTTACTATTTACATGAGAGAAATTTTAGGAAATGCCTTCTTTTAATCAAATTACCCTTGGAAGGTGTGATATAGCCGTGTTTTGGGTATTGGATTCAAGCACAGGTTGCTAGGGCTTTCCTTTGCTGGTTTGTTTTGTACATGGTTTTCACTTTCATGTTGTAGCGTAGGAGGATCTCTCACATTCTTTTGTTGATGCCCTCGATTTGTTTTCTCATAAATGTCTTATTCTTATACTAACAAAGAATCCGTTGTATGCATTGCAGATGGGAAAATAGATTTGATCTGTTTCCTTTAGCAAGCAGATGCATGTCATAAAATGGCCTTATAATTTGTGCTCAAATCTTTTTTCCCTTTAAATTGGTAGGTTGGTGCAGGGCTTCCCGTCATTGCATCCTTAAACCGCATACTTTCATCTGGAGATCCCGTTTATCGTATTATTGGGAGTTTGAGTGGTATGAGGACCTTTTCAGTCGTTTAGTCTAATATTTTCCGATCATTTATTTATGGGCCTTACTTGAAATTTTGTACAGGTCACCAATTTACATATATGAAAATTCTGGCTTTTAACAAAATTTTCTCTCATATGTGGTAGGCACATTGGGATATGTAATGACTGAGGTTGAAGATGGAAAGCCGTTTAGCCAAGTTGTTAAATCTGCTAAAAGTATGGGCTACACAGAACCAGGTATTGTCACAATTTTTAGCTTGTATAAGTTCCTAAATTCAAATTGCACATTTGCATTGCCTATTTCAATTAACGTTTCTTTGCTCTTAATCAATAATTGAGGATTCCTAGCTTAGAACGATCTTATTTTTCACTGTTGTTTATGTTTTACATACCATATAAAAAAAAACAATAGTAATGAAAATGCTTGCCAAGATTGAATCTCAATGCATAGTTAGCGATCGTGTGTTCAAAATTTAATAGGAGGTGGACAGCGCTGTATAACAGAGTCCACATTTGGGGTTTGGAGGTGTTCTTGTCAGGTTGTTAGAATGGGGTATTGATTGTTTATGGAGATGTGTGAGTTTTCGAGGTTGCAGAGCACGATTGCTTAAGCCTAGTTAAAGTTTTAGGTTCTGGAGTAAGTAAAACGAAGTTTTGCATTTAGAAGAGAGAGAAGTAGTTATCTCTTAGCCTAGTTAGTAGTTTAAGTCATAGAAGGAGCAGAAGGGAAAAAATGACTTATTGAGAAAATAAAATTTTATCTTTCAAATCTTGAAGCCAATAAAAAAACTGTTCGCTGGAAGCTGTAATGGATTACAAATATTTTCCCAGTACTCTCAAATTGTGCTTCCTTGATGTGCCAAAACGTACAACTGTACAAGCATACATTTGAAAATTGAAAGCACTCATCCATACATTTATTTCAAATATAGAAAGAAGAATTTAATTGAGTTAATATATTTAGTCCTTGTAATTGAATTAGAAATTATTTATTATTTATTTGGGAAAGTACCAATCAGGAAGTTAGACTTTCAAATTATTTTCTTGTTTTTAGAGAAGAAATGGGTTTAGCAATTTATTATCAACTCCGCGTTGTTTGATTTCCGCTTGATGTAATTATCGCAGATCCACGTGACGACCTCAGTGGGATGGATGTTGCAAGAAAGGTTTGAGTTTGATTGACTTCATAAGATTTATTGTCTTATTAACTTCTTTAAGTATCATTCCTTGTACCTGACTGTGATAAAATCATAACTAATATGTGTTTATGCAAGTCAATGCATGGTGGTAGACAAGTCAAGATTGTTTTCATTGTCATTAACTACTCTTCAAGCATAGTTAATTAGTTGAAATTCCTGAATTAAACCACATTTAAGCTGTTGCAATCAGAAAAAAATATGCACGATTTTAGCCAACACTAGGCAAGATATAGTCCTCTTCTGTCCTTGTGTTTGGTGCGTTTCCAGTATACCTTTTCCGTGGCCCTTTTTTCTACATGTGCTGCATTCAACTCTATTCTCTCTCTCCTCCTCCTCCGCCTCCTCCTCCTCCTCCTTCTTCCTCTTCTTCTTCTTCTTCTTCTTCTTCTCCTTCTTTTCCCTTTCCTTTCAGAATCGATTCATCAATGAAAGGATGTTTCTTAATAAAAAATGTATCGAACTCTTACTCCTTTGTCCAAATGCCAGCTTTCTTTTGTTTTTTGTTTGTCAATTTTGTCAAAAAGCAGCAATTCTGTAAAAAGATGGTATACAAGAGGATAATTTGTAAAGACTAAGAAGCTTAGGATTGAAAATACCTAATTTCAATTGTGTTCTTTAAAAGATAATTTCTTGTCTTTGTTTGGTAGTCAGTCTTTTAGTTTTTCATTTTTCCCCCTAAAACCTTAGAGTTGCTGATCTTTCCTGCCATATACCCAACATGGAATAAATTAGCACATATGGTTTTGGTGATTTCCTATAAACTTAAGAAGTTCGTTCATATGTTTTCATATGAAACATTGAAACATACTTTTTAGTTGATACTTGCTAATAAAATTTTCTCCTGTATTTTCTTAAATATTTCTCTTGTTTATTTTAAACAGGCTTTGATACTTGCCCGACTTCTTGGCTCGCGCGCGAACATGGACAGCATTAAGGTAAATAGTTCATTTCCTTCATATTTTTCTTTTTAATTTTTTATAAAACTGGGGTGTTTGTTTCACAACTCAAGTTCATAACTTGAGTTGTGTTTGTGAGAGAAAAATGCTGTAGTAAAAAAGTAAAATTTGAATTTGTGTGAGAGAAAACATTGTAGCAATAGAACTTGAGTTGTGAAAAAATCTAGATTTTTTTTCCGCGTGTATAAATGATAGTTTTTCTCTTCCTTCTAGATTGAAAGCTTGTATCCTGAAGAAATGGGACCCGATGTAATGTCTGTTGAAGAATTTCTCGACAAAGGGGTTTTATTGCTTGATAAAGATATTCAAGAAAGAGTTCACAAGGCTTCCTTGAATGGAAATGTTCTGCGTTACGTCTGTGTGATTGAGGGGTCAAGGTGATCTTTCTGTATAACTTTTACTTAAGAGAATAGATAGATATGAACAGACTTGTTCATTTTCTATTTTCTGTTTTAACATGCTATGTGCTGAATCATTCAATGATCTACTTTTACTAATCAGTAATTCATACAAGGATCCGTGATCTTTGATTTTTTAGGTAGATAACAGTTTGTCTTATTTAACGTCTGAAACTTCTGTTGATATTGAGGCTTCAATATTTATCCATCAAAGAAGGGGGCACAGGTTAAAAAAACTTGAAATGGTTATGGAACTGTGACCAATCGATATATAATGCAACTGAAGTGTCTTTATGTGTCAACATTGTAAAAGACTGGTTTGGTAATAGTTTCAAGTAATGAAGTGATGCTCCTTTAACACGTAATAACCGATCTTTTCTTTGTTATTATTGTGTATTTTTATTAGGTGTGAAGTTGGCATTCAAGAGCTTCCAAAGAACTCTCCTTTAGGAAGACTTAAAGGAAGTGACAATGTGGTAAGCTTTTCATTCCTTTTATCTCAGCTGATTAAGTAAATTCACATATTACAACAGGCAAACAAAAGTACTTCTCGAACTTTTCATCTGAAAGTGTATTTCCCTTTTTTTTTTCTGCTGAAGAGGAACATGTCTTTCTTAGTTCATTGTAACAAATTTATCAGGGGATGAAAGACCAAGTGATTTGGCTGATTAGGGAGCAAAGCTTACATAGTTCTTTTTACTGAACGTGTGATAAATTTGAAATTTCATTATCTCATACTGGATTTTGTAAGATTACTAGAAAAATACCCCTCGACTGAATCTAATAACGTGGTTACCCTCCTTTAAATGTGAAATCATTATGTCGGTTAGCTTCTGTTGGTTAAACTCAGGATAGTACTCGCTTTTTCCTTTTAATGGGAAGTTTTCAAGAATGCCAATAAAAAGCTAACACTATTTTTATTCATGCCATCAATTTTAAAATTTTCATTTATGCCATCAATATTCTGGCGGATATCTTTCATACTCTACTAGAATAGATTTTTTTTTTTTGGCAGCATATTTGTTGTATTCTACTATAATATGTTTCATATTCTACCATAATATTTTTTAATGGCATAAATAATAGGATAATGAAAAACAATGGTTATTCTTGTAATGCTCTCTTTAATTCTTTGACTTCCCAAATTATTGTTGAATATCTGTCTAATTTTTAGGTCATTAAATTGACGTTTAACCTTTCAAAAGGGAAATTACACAATTTCTCCCTGATACCTGATTCCTTAAACTGCATATGAAGCTTGATCATTTTCTATGGGGCAAATTGTGATGATTGTCCACGTTAGACATTTCTTTTAAAAAAAATATTGGTAATTTTATTTCTAAGCCCGTAAGTCAGTAAAAAGCTGGGACAAATCAATCATTTACTTGATTTGTTAAGAGCTTTATAAAAAGTGAATTGATCAATGATTTACTCTACAATAAATCAAATGAACAAAAATTACATGTTTTTTTTTTAAAAGTGGTCCAAATTTTAGTCCGTTTATGTTCATACCCCTTGCTGATACTGTACAATCATGTAACAATGCAACAGTTGGAGATATACAGCCGCTGCTATAAGGAAAAACCGCTGGTTATCCAAGGTGCCGGAGCAGGGAGCGACACTACAGCAGCTGGTGTCCTTGCTGATATCCTTGATCTTCAGGATTTGTTTCCTTGAAAGTATTTTTCTCTATAGGTCATCAGTTGAAGAAAACCACATTCCCAGTTTCAACACCCAGTTTCCACAGGTAGTCAGGTACTGGTAAAACTCTCAAGAGTTCATCGATTTCTAGTAGAGTTCACCATGCCAGGCTATAAATCTAATACTTGTGAGGAGGTGGTCCCTTTAGAAGTTAGTGAGGAACATGAAAATTTTGGTTATTTTGTTAGAGATGTCTTTGCTTCCGCTGAAGGAGATTGGAGTAATGGGTCGGGGTGTGGAGGAAACAATTTAAAAATATGATTTACATTCTTGATCTTCAAACTGCCATGTTTTCTTAAGCAGTCAGTGATTTATTTTTATTTTATCTTTTGTTCCAAGTAGAATGGCAATTACTTGTGTCTGTTTATGTAGTTTAATATTTCTGCAGTTAAGCAAGTCCAATGTGCAAACTGGATTTGCACATTTTTTCTTGGGTTTAATTTGAGAGTTTGGATATGGATTTGTGTTTTGTACGTGCCTTGCGTGAAGCTTAGCCATTTCTAATATAACAACGCTAAGAAGAAATTTTAAGATGTTTACTTTAGTTCAGCATCAGCATGTTTTTTTTTTTTTTTTTTTTTTTTTTTTATTATAAAACACGGGATTGAACCCGCAACTTCCCGCCTAAACCCCACCCCACAAACCCCTCCCGTGCCACTAGACCAAGAGGTTTTAGGCAATTCAGCATTAGCATGTCGTAATAAAGACCCAAAAATATTGTGTTACCGGTGTATTAAGGAAAAGAAAATTCTACTGTAGAGTAATGTTGTTTTGCCCTATTTGGTAGAGCAAGTTTTTTTACTTGTTTGATTAAATTTTAATGGGCTAATCATTTATGTGGGAACATTTCTATCATAGCATCTATTATTTTTAACATAAATACTCATGGATCATGTTAAATTTAATCAGATGACTGATAAAATTTTCTCCGCTGGTAGGATAAAGGAACATGTCTTATCATGAAATTTTCCCGAGAAAAATGGTGGTAGAGATTTAACAATGCCGTGTCCTTGCCTGCACTGCAAGACATGGTCTAGACTCGTTATGTTTTTTTTTTTTTCCTTTTATAAGGAATAGTATGTTAAAAAGTAATTATATTAAATATATAATATTTAAGGATACTGCTAGGGACAATATTTAATGCAAAAACTAAAGACTCTAAGTCTTCTGTAATGGTGCTGGATAAGTAAAGTTAGTAATATTTGTACCCCAAAGCTAGGGATGGTTAAAAAATCTCGTGCCCTTTTGATTCATAAATTTGAATAAGAAATTGAAGAGAATTTTAAATTTTTGCAAAAAAAAATCATTGTACCAGAAATGTTTGAATATCAATTTGAGATGGAAGGTGGGAAGAAGCAGTTGCGTCCTGCCCCCTGGTTTCTTACACGGCATACGAAATAAATTAAGATCTCATTTATTTTATCGATTTAAATTTTTAATTTTAAATTTTTACAATAAAAAATTTTTAAAAAATATTATATTTAATTTTTTTGTTATAATTAAAATTTTTTAAAAAATATTACATTTCAGTTTAAATTAAAAATTTAAATTTATGAGTGAACGGCTTTCGAGTCAATGTGATTTATAATGATACGTACGATAATAAACAGCTGTACTAAGTTTTAAGTCAAGACAGTTGCACCAAATTTTTTTTTCTAATGAGAACAGTTCATATTCGGCCCAGGTCATAATGGTGCGACTGTCATTTTTAAGTACGTAACTCTATTTAGTAATTAGTTTGTCTTTCATTAGTTGACAACGTGTAACCTTTGGCTAGCGTTTAGTTGTGTGATTTGATTATACTATTACTGTTAGTTAGTACTGTCTTTGATGAGTTTAAGGCATATTTCATTTTGTTGATTGAAGTTTAAAATTTGAGTTTTATTATAGTAAAAAATTTTAATAAATAATTATATTTAATTTTTTATTACAATAAAAAATTCTCATATAAAGTTATATCTCAACTCGAATCAGTCAATTAAACGAACTTAAATATAAATGGTAAATGATCTAATTAAGCTTATATAATACAAAATCCGTTTAAAAGTCTAAAAACACTACAACAAACTTAAAGAAAATATACTATTCCGAAGGGAGAGCGTTAAAAAAAAAAAAAAAAAAAGGCAGGTGATTTCGTGGCAATATGGACCACATGAATCTCTTTATCTCCATCTCCAGGAGTGCCTCTAAACCACGGCCATCTCTATATTTTGTAGGCCTTAGACAAAAACTTTTTCGGGACCTTTTTTTTTAAAAAAAAAATCACACTAAAAATTGAAAAAAAAAAATCTAAACATTCGTGTATTCTATTAGAATCTTGGTTGAGTCACACATTGTTAAAGTATAAGCTTAACACGTGGGTTTATAATTATTTAGGCACTCTCTCTCTACAAGCTAGTTTTTAGAGATGAGTTTTATCCAAGAGTTATAACAATTAGTATCAGAGCATGCCTTACCTTAGACACACGTTGTGAAAAGGATGATCTAAACAGGTCAGAGTGGGCCATCGAAAATAGGCCGCCTTAATTGAATGGAGTGTTATTTAAAGTATTTCATAATGGTTGACGGTGAAATTTCGTCAACAGGATTACGCCAGGTCACCTCTTAGTATCCCGTTGGGTTATCGGCCTAATAATCGTTATATGCTCGAAATTACGCTATGAAATGTTTGTTGTAGTTTTGAAAGCATGAGAATAATGCTTGAATGAAAGGACACACGAAATTTATAGTGGTTCACTCTGTTAATGAAGAGCTACATCTACTGTATTTCTACATATATTTGTGCTATTCTTTTGATTACATATATGAGGAAGCGAATCCTTTTTTCGGGGCTTTGTCCCCCCATTTATAGTCCAAAAATTACTTCATGGGCGGTTTTCCTCTGTAGGCCCACCACTCGAGTGCCTACTACCCTATGGGCCCAGACCCATAGTCGATGAAAGGCAGAGGGAAGTGGTCCTTTCTGGTTGCTTTGTTCAGTTTCCTGTAGTCCATACATACCCTCCAACCAGTAACTGTTCTTGTAGGAATCAACTCGTTATTGTCATTTGGAACCACGGTGACTCCACCTTTCTTGGGTACGCATTGAACTGGGCTGACCCAAGAGCTGTCTGAAATAGGGTAAATTATCCCTGCATCAAGCCATTTAATTACCTATTTCTTCACTACCTCCTTCATGATCGGATTCAACCTTCTCTGCTACTCTACTGAATTGCTGCAGCATTCCTGTAGCAAAATTTTATGCATGCAGATTGATGGGCTGATTCCTTTTATATCAGCGATGGTCCACCCAATTGCACGTTTGAACTTTTTTAACACCTCCAGTAGTTGTATTTCTTGCATGTCATTTAATCCAGAGGCAATAATTACAGGAAGAGTATCGGAATCACCCAAATAAGCGTACCTCAAGTGTGCCGGTAAGGGTCTTAGTTCCAAAATGGGGGGCTCTTCCACTGAGGGCTTATGCTGCCTTAAAGGCTTTGTTGACAAGTCCAACGACTCGAAATGCCTCCTAGACTTTGTTGCTGCATGCCTACCCTCCAACCATGATACTTGTTTATCATTGTTGTCCTCATTAATCTCTGAATCAATCACGTCCTCCTCTGTCATCAATTTCTCAGCACATGTCTTTTCAAACTCTGCTGCCACTAATGAATCCAAAATGTTCATTGCTGAACATTCCTCCACCTCATCAGTGAAACGCATCGCTTTGAACACATTGAAAGCGACTTGTTGATCGTGGACCCTCATTGTCAACTCTCCTTTTTGAACATCTATCAACGTCCTGCCTGTAGCTAAGAAGGGTCTCCCCAAGATAATCGGTACCTCCTTATCCGCTTCATAGTCCAACACGATGAAGTCGGCTGGAAATATAAATTTGTCCACCCGTACTAGGACGTCCTCTATTTTTCCCTCTGGGTGAGCATAAGACCTGTCGGCTAGCTGCAATGTAACAGTGGTGGGTCTCGCTTCACCTATTCCCAGCTTTCTGAAAATGGACATTGGCATTAGATTAATGCTCGCCCCCAAGTCACACAAAGCTTTTCCGATGTATTGATCTCCAATGGAGCACGGTATGGTGAAGCTACCAGGATCCTTCAACTTGGGTGGCAGCCGATTCTTCAAGATTGCACTGCATTCTTCGGTTAGTGCCACCGTCTCAAATTCACCTAGCCTTCGTTTCTTTGAGAGGATAACCTTCATGAACTTAACATAACTCGGCATTTGCTCCAATGCCTCCACGAGTGGAATGTTGATATGAAGCTGTTTCAGCACGTCAAGGAATCTCCTGAATTGCTTATCTTGCTTTTGATTCTGAAATCTCTATGGAAATGGGGGTGGAGGTCTCTCTGGTTTATTTTGCTTCAGCTTTACTGTAGCATCCTGGTCGATCACATCCTGTTCTGATTCAGCTGGTGGTTGCTGGACTTCCTGGGTTTGGATCGAAGAGTGCTCTGTTGCTGCAGTCTGTCGAGTTGGTTGTTCAATTTCTCTACCATTCCGAAGTGTGATAGCTTTGCAATGCTCCTTACACTGTTCCTTACCATCTCTTCTTGGGTTTTCCGTATCGCTCGGAAGCGATCCTTGGGGTCTATTACTGAGAACATTAGCCAACTGCCCCACTTGATTTTCCAAGGTCCTCAACGATGCAGCTTGACTCTGGAGGAGAGCTGCTTGACCCTGAATGAGCGAGTCATTCCTTGCCATGTACTCTTTAAGTAATGCCTCCATAGGGGTTGATGACGCTTGATGTGGCTGCCTGGGTTAAACCCAAGAGAGAGATTGAGGACATTCCTTCACCTGTTAGAGAGGCACAACAAGCCCATTCCCTTGCTGTGTCTTTGCAATCAGATAACAATGTATTTCAACCTGTACTTAGTGCTTGAAACATACACAAATATATAATTTGAGAAAAGAACTTAAATCCGTTGATAATTCGCTCTCCAATCCTTTACACATTTATTTGCCGGATTAACTTTACGCATCATGAAACAAAAAACAAAAAAAAACAGTTAAATGATGTATCATCAAATAACCAAATACTAATTCGCGGTAAAAAAAAACTGAGAAGAAAACAACAATTTCAATTTTACAGAATTTGCAAAATTTTGATATATACATGTGTGTGTGTGTGTGTGTGTGTGTGTGTGTGTTTGTATGTGATTTGAAAACAGAATGTGTGTGTGTTTGTGTGTGATTTGAAAACAGAAGAAAACTTTTCCATCTGATTGCACAAAGACGTGGTCAATTTTCTACAATGATCTAGTTCGTTTATAACATTTGTAGTTCTAAACGAACACGTATTTAAATTGAGGTTCAAACTTCACAAAATCTCACATCAAATTTAAACTCAAAAGGTTCAATATAAACTCCCTGCTAAAAGAAACTTAAATGCTAAAATGGTCACTTTATTAATTGCAATCCGGCATTTTTTGCAATAGTTTTGCCCTCTGTGGCAAAAGTCGATCCACGGCGTGTTTCACTGGCAGGCTGCATAATTATCCCTGTAGCTATCAGTACTTACAAAATGTGTGTGCCTGTGTTTCTCCTACTCATTTTCCTTGCGGTCTTTTTGCTTTCTTATTTTCTCTTTACATGTGACTGTGATACATTGCCTACCATTAATGAATTTACGCAGTTTCTAATTTTCATTGTAGTATAGATCAATCACTAGATTTCCATCAGTCATCTGATTTGCTTCGTCATTAATTGCAGAAACAGGGCACCACTGCTACAGCTTCCATTAACGTGTCCAACCTTATAACAAAAGTGACAATGCAATACAAAACGAAAATGAAGTTGTACATGAACATTTGCCCAAAAGTCAAGAGACGAACTGCCACTAAATCTTGAGAATTTATGAGAGACTTGGATTCAAAAATCTTTTATTTTTTTAGAATCTTGGGTTATGAAATGTCATATCAAGGATTTAAATACTTTTTACCTTTTGTAAAATAAACACGGGTTTAAACTTGAATTTAAGTTCAAACTCTTTGAACCTTCAAACTAAACGTCACTGTTTGCCAAAAACTCTATGCATAAAATGACTCCACGCAAGCGCACGTAATCGAACAAGTAATATAGTAATGAGTAAAGTATCGTCTCCACAGGGACTGAGTTAATGAGGAATTCTATTACAAAAACCAGTTTTATCAATATGATTGAGAATAGTTTGAATGCCAAATTGATATTAATTAAGTGAAAAGAATGTATAAGGCCAAAGGCTGTAATTTAAATGCAGACAAGAGGTAAAAGTCAACAATATCTGAGCTTAGAGCTGTGATTTAATGATGGATGAAGGCTAGGATTACTGATTTTCCCTCGGTTGCAACTCTGACCACGATTTGCTATACGATTGCTGTAGCAAAGTTCATCTAGTCAACCTAAAATTCTACATAATCATCTTCCGACAGATTTATGCTTGTAATTCCTTAAACCAAACCAACATATTCCTATGTGTTTTAGTTTACAAACCTGACGTTAACATCAATTTTAATGGGTTGTACGAGATAATAGTATATTCCTATACTATCTCTTACATTATCCAAGCTAGATCTAACTTAACCAACCTTTCCAGAATTAGCTTAAGTTTGTGTTTTCTTACTAAATGATGGCCTGTCACTTAATAGAAAGTAAACAATAAATATGCTTGAATAAACCAGATGAAAATTACATTATCAATCAAAATAGCAAATAGATCTTCATTGCAATTTTGGTTCCATCAATAATCCTAGCTAAGGAATTTAGCTCATGTTTAGTTCAACAAAATCAGAATTAATAACAAATAACAGATCCATAAGGTCTCGGAAAGTAAATACAGAGAGAAGGAGAAAACAGCTAAGCTAAAAGCTGAGGTCAAAAACTCCTGTGTATCCGTGCTGTACTCTTCTTTTCTCCAGCTCCAGCGTCCAAAATCTCCTGTACTCTCTTCTGTCTCTGTTTCCAGCTCCTCTAGGAATTCTGTGCGCCTCTACTAATTTTTCTCTTCTTTTCTGGCTGGTTGTACTATACTCTTCTTTTCCTTTATATACTAGGGCATGTTGAGGTGCCCTAGTGACAAGTGTATGCATGAGAGTCATGATTGATGGTCCCCCCTCCTGGTGCTCTTACAGCTGTCCCATCAGTGCTTGGACCATTACCAGTGCTAAAAGACAAACTGCGCCAGCTTGCTAATTTTTGGCTGCTCCTGCTTTTGCTGCGACTTTGTTGCAGCAATGCTATGGCATTGGGGGCATTTCAACATTTGTGTTTTCCACCGTGCTTTTCTCACCAAAAGCCTACGTCAGCACCTCCTGTGGACAGCACGCACTAAGTTCCCAGGGTCAATGCAATGAGTTGAATTGAGGAATAACTTCAAAATATAGCAAGATTTCCCATAAATAACAACTTTCTGCCACACGGAAAAAGATTAATAAATGCTATTCAAAATACTAACACAAAGGCATTTTACCCGGAGAATATAAACAAATATTAAGCCTAAAAGTATGCTAAATAACTCTATTTCTGTGAGTTATCAATGGTATGTAGAAGAAAAATTAAAACTGGTACCTTGGAGCCGAAATAGCTCTGTCCAGAAATGACTGGTGAAAGTGAGGTCTCTATCACAAACGATTGACTGGGGCACCCCGTGAAGGCAAAAAATCTGTTCGAAGAACAGTTGGGCCACTGTCTCGGCTTTATACGGATGAGTCAAAGGCAGAAAATGGCCATACTTAGATAGTCTATCCACTACCACCAATAAAACGGTTTTTCTTTGAAATTTTGGGAGCCCCTCCACAAAGTCCATTGAGATGTCTGTCCACACACGGGTTGGAATAGGTAAAGGCTGTAGTAACCCCCCAGGTGCCTGCTGATCATACTTGTTTTGTTGACAAACATCACATTGACGAATCCACTCTTTTACCTTTGCCTTCATGTGCTTCCAATGGAAACACTCATTGATGCGCAACACTGTCTTATAAAATCCCTCATGTCCAAAATCATGGTACTGCTTAAGGATAATTGGAACAAAATCGGAGTCCTCCGGCAGATATATTCTATCCTTGTAGAACAAAACCCCCCTCTTAACTGCCCAAAACGTTCCCAACTCCACTCGCTCAATCCTCAGCCTCAAGTCCTTAACTTCTGAACTAGTTTCATTGAGCTCCACTACCGAGTTCCACCAATCTGGACTTGGAATCGACAGAGCACACACCCTCGCTGTCTCCCTCTTGCGTGATAACCCGTCCGCGACTAAGTTGTGCTTACCTTGCTTGTAGTCAATGCCAAAATCATATCCCATTAGCTTGATGATCCATCACTGCTGTGTTTCTGTGGTAATCTACTACTCTAGCAGGAACTTGAGGCTCTTGTGATCTGTCCAGACTCTGAAGCGTCACCCCAGCAAGTACGGTCTCCAGTGTTGCACTGACAGGGCCAGAGCCATGAGCTCTTTTTCATATGCGGAGATGAATATGTTTTTTCCCTTGAGTGTAGTGCTAAAGAAGGCAAGGGGTTGCTCATTCTGCATCAGGACAGCCCCCACTCCATATTTGGACGCATCACACTCGACCACAAACTCTTAGTCAAAGTCAGGGAGGGCCAACACGGGTGCCTCAGTCATAGCCCTCTTCAGCCTTTCAAATGCCGCCTCAGCCTCTTCTCCCCAGCTGTAACCCCCTTTCTTGAGTAAATCTGTTAAGGGCCTAGCTATTTGCCCATATCCCGCAATAAATCTGCGGTAATACCCAGTTAACCCTAAGAATCCCCGCAGCTCCTTCACGTTCTTGGGCTGGGTCCATGTTTTCATCGCCTCTATCTTTGTTGGGTCAGCCTTTACTCCCCCCACACAAATAATGTGGCCAAGGTAATGAACTTCACTCCTGGCCAGGGAGCACTTCTCCTTCTTGACAACCAGCTTGTTTTTCTCCAGGATTCTGAAGACCATCTCTAAGTGGTGCCAATGTTTTTCCTTACTCGAGCTATACACCATTATGTCGTCAAAGGACACTAATACGTATTTCCTCAGCACCTTCTTGAACACTTCATTCATGAGGCTTTGGAATGTTGATGGAGCATTGATCAGACCAAACGGCATAACCCTGAATTCATAATGGCCGTGGTGGGTGCGAAAAGCCGTTTTCTCCATATCAGTTTCTACTATTCGGATTTGGTGGTAGCCAGAACACAGGTCTAACTTTGAGAATACCCTTGCCCCATGAAGCTCGTCTAGAAGTTCCTCTATCACGGGAATGGGAAACCTATCCCTCACAGTGATTTTATTCAGCCTCCTATAGTCTACGCAGAACCGCCAGGTTCCATCCTGTTTCTTTACCAACAATACAGGGGATGAATATGGACTCTGACTTTCCTGAATTAATCCCTGTTTGACCATGTCCTCCACCATTCTCTCAATCTCCTGTTTTTGGTAATGAGGATAACGATAAGGCTTAAGGCTCACTGGCCCACTTCCGGGCAGCAAAAGGATTTGGTGGTCATGCCTCCTTTGTAAGGCCAATCCCCTCAGTTCATCGAAAACCGTAGGGTACCTCTCTATCCAAGGCATCCACTCCCCCCATTTGTTTCCACCTTCCCTCGTTCTTCCGTTAGTCTGATGTGTAACAACATCCCTGTCCCCATATCCTTCTTCAAAGCTCTGTTCATCGTCCTCTCCCCTACCTGTTTTGCTTCAGCTTGGCCTAGCCCAACCAACCGGACCTCCTTTCCATCCACTGTAAATCCCATTTCCATAC